AATACATTTGCCCTTCCTAGGAAGAAAGAAAAAACATCTGGCCTCTTACCTTGGGATAATTTCCTTGTGTTCATATCTTATTACAGTGTTTTCTTTCATGAGGAGTAGCCCCAGTCATCAGATAATTAACCAAATAGCATAGCAGTTGTTTTCCTTTGGTAACTTGGGCACCCGTGGTGGACACACCTACCCCTCTGAGGTAAGGTCATGCTCAGGCAGGGAATTATTCTGTGTCATGGGGTAAGTCTAAGCCCTGTTTGCCTGGTCTGAATCCCTCACTGCTGGGTAGGGCTTCTTTTGGGGAATAAGCATTAGATCAGAGTTGATAAAGCAATCCAGAAACTGGAATGTTTATGCCCCAGAAACACTGCGTGAGCCCAAGAACCTTTGCATTCAGCACAGGCACAGGTGAACAGCAAAGGGGAGACTGTGGTTGGTGTCATCATTACAGAATATTTAAAGAGCACTGGTGGCGATCATCTTCTCAGGGCATGAGCCTGGCTCACCTTCACCGGTCTAAAAGTCCGTTCCTGCTACTGTTATGAAATACCCCAAACTGGGTAACCTAGAAGTGCAGCAGTAGAAGAGTGTCATTGTCATTTCCGGAGGCTGGAGATCCCAGCACGAGGGTGCCTGTGTGCCTGGGTGTCTGGTGAGCTCTTGCTGTCAGACTGCAGAGGTGGAAGAAGGAATGAACCCGGCCATCCCTCAGGGCAGACCATTCATGACTTAACCACCCCAAACCCCTGTGCTGTTCCTTAGAGGTCAGGTTCCAACACCTGAAGATTGAAAGGAACATACATTCCCGGATAACAAGCAGTGTGTGTGCATCCCCAGTAGGGTATCCTTTAAATGCTGGCCTGTCCATAACCAGACAATAGTAACAAGAGGGATCCGTTATCATCAAGGGGTGGATTTTAATTGACAGCAGTAGGAGCATTGCTGAACATTTGTGAGTAAATAGGTCCTTTATGTCCTCTGAACTACTTCGGAAAGCACTTGAAACCACTGAAATTGGTAGAATCAAGTGAAATAAGGCTGATTTAATACGCAGCTCTCTGCAGAGGGCTGTTTATAGAAATGGTTTCCAGCGCCTGGGCAGCTCGCCAGGGGACGAGGGTGAATGGGCACCGGTCCCAAGGCTCTGCCTCTCTGCGTGCCTCTTGGTGGATTTACAGATAACACTTCAATGGATGGAAACTTTTGGGATTCAAAATGTTTGAAAACTTCTGTGGAAGAGTCTAGGCAGTTGCCCCCTTCTTTGAAGGCCACAGAAAGAAAAGAAAAATGACTTTAAATTGTGGAAGGTGGAATTATGTTATCCAAAATAAAATCACTAAATCTATCTATGAACATACTATTACTAAGGAAATCTATATCACTTTCTTTTCTCTAAAGCTAAGAATTGCACAGATTGTCTCTTTTAAGTATATTTAAAAATCACATAAGACATCATAAAAATCTTAATATAGAAAATAATAGGAAACTTAGTTGAATTCATTTTATTTGCTGAATTTATACTCTATAAACTTACCATTTAAGCAAGGCTGAAAATAATACAAAATAGAAAAATACTGATACTTGCTTTTAGAATGTGTTTTTGAAGTTACAATCAAATATGGATAAGTGTGGTTTTCAAGCAGAGTGTGGCAGAGACCGTAAAAGCATACACTGATTGAGTGGAAATCTCATTTTATAACTATTATATGGTTCTCCTATTAAGCGTGACTGCTATTGGCTGTGTTTTTTGAGAAGAGCTTCTCAGCCTCTATAGACTGTGGTGGGCTTGTTTTCTGTTTTTACTATTGCTAAGTGCAGAGCTACATGTCCAGACCTTTTTTATTTTGAGACAGGGTCTAGCTGAGCTGCCCAGACTGGCCTCTGACATGCCTCCTGCGTCAGCTCCCCAGTGCCTGGGATTAGAGCAGCTGGCGCCGGCCCAGCAGCCAGCTTACCTTCCTCATGTGGATGTTAGAGGGAGAGGACTTTATAATTTACACAAGTATTCACAAATTTTACTGTCCCATTAATCCGTGACTCTTGGTTACGTGGAAACTTTCCAGTTTTTCTGTATTTCCACCACTTTTTAGCCCTAGCAGCTCTCTTGAACCTTCTCTGGGACCAAGGGAAGAGTTTAGTGTTTGGATTTTAAAGACGTCCATGAAAACAAGAAAAACTAGGTAAAGCATTTAACTAGCACTATTGAAAAACAATGCATTGCACTTAATTTTTGTGAGTAACTGACACCTATTTTATTGCCTGCCAAATTTTTTACTTTCACATTTCATTTCCTGGAGAGAAAATCTCCTAATTATATCTTATGTTTTAATTTCTTTTAAAACAGAAAATGTTCCCATTGATTTCGGTTAGCTGTGAAGTCTCCCCTGAGGTCTCCTGTACTGAGGGTTTCATTTCCAGTGCCACAGTATTCAGAGGTGAAGCTCGGCCAGGTGGCAGGACCACGAGGGTGCTCATAGGTTCCTCCACTGGGAGCTGCTAGCTGGATGAGCCACAGGAATGTGGGCCCCAGATGTTGTCTCCCCCTCTCCCTCCCTCCTCTTTCCCCAACCCTCTCTCCCTCTCCCTCTCTCTGGCCCTTTCCATCTCCCTGTGCTTCCTGCCTGCCAGGAAGTGAGCAGCTTTTCTTCCCCACGCCCTTCAGACCATCACGTTTCCCCCTCACCACATGCCCTAAAAGTGGTGAAGCCCCTGACCATGGACTGGACCCTCTGAAACTTCTCCTTTCTGCATGTGGGTTCATCGCCAGGTATTTTGTCACAGTGATGCACAGCTGGTCCACATGCATGATATCTTGTTTGTTGGTTGGCTAGGAGATGCTAAACTGCTTTTCCACACGTCTGTTATTTCACAGAAGAGCCTTCAGGTCGAGCTCAGGTGTGGATGTTATAACTAAGGGGGTCATTCAGTGGCACTGACGTGAAACCGGCTCACACTGGCTTCGTGAGAGGGCGCTCATTTGCTCAGCTGACATCCAGATGTGAAAACAGTATGGTTATAAACTGCGAGTTTTTGTTCTCACATTCCACATTTCATGTAGAATTAGAATCAGCTGACAGCTGTGTTAGTGCCTCTGATTAAGGAAGTGGTGGTGATACAACATCATGGGATTCTTTGAAATCTTAAACACAAACCTCTTGCACTTTGTTAAACTAAGAAAATGACTTCTTGTCTAATTCATCTTGGTCTTTGAGGCCTAGCCCAATGTCTGGCACGTATTCACCATGCAAATGCATGTTGAACTTTTCTCATATAATTTTTATTAGATTATTCAAATTTGCAGTTTGTGGGGTTTTTTACCTCTACATTAATGTTAATTGTACCTCTTAAATGAGAGGTGAATTTGAGTACTAGCCCAAGGAAGACATGAGGACAGTGGCTTAAACAATCACATGCTTGTTTGGCAGTGGAGGACTGCTGCAGCTGCTCCGGGGTGACCCCGGAGACCAGCGCCTCCTGTCTGAGCCCTCCACTGTCCTGAGCACAGAACTTCCATTCTCATGGTGGCTGCTGCCCTCCAGGCATTGTCTCTACCTCCCAGGACAGAGAAAGAGAAATGTTGCCAGCCAAAGAAGTGTGCTCTTTCAGTAGGCTTGCTGGGACTCCCCTGTACATCTCAGCTAGAACTGTGACAGGCGGCCACCTCGAGCTGCAGCAGGGTCAGGGATTGGAGGATTTGGCTTCTCACCTGCAACAGCATGGGAATCAAGAGAGAAGGGGTTAACATGGGCATTTATTGAGGCGACCTGTAGTCTGCCTTATGGTTTCTTGGTATAAGTTTCTCTCTTCTGGTGCACTGTAAGTCTATGGGAAATAGAGGACATGTTTTGACAATCTAAAACTTCCCCATAACAACGTCTAGCCAGAGATGATGATCGCAACTACCACAGGACCTAAGATACTGTGGGTATTCATCAGCGGTGTTGTTTTCAACTTTAGTTTAAAAATAAGGCCCAAAAAGGATAATAGTTTCTCTAAAAATGACTGAGTCCAGAGGCCTACCTTTGGTGATTCATTCCTCGCATCACTTTGGAAAGTCACCTGGAGCCTTGCTGCCTGCCTCCCCGGGTTGGCCCATTAGAGAGGGCAGTTTGGTCATGAGCTTGCTCAGAATGCTTTGGAGCCTAACCCAAAATGCAGGGTGAAAAAGGAAATAAAAAGTGATTCATCAGCAAGGACTTTTACAAGAGTGAAAAGGTAAGAATGAACACAGCATGAAGTGTGATCACAAAATACAGTGAATGTTTACATTTTTAAAACATTTGTTATAGTAGAAGACAGACTGCTATGAATCCCCTCGAACTCCTCCCCTTGCTTCAAACATGTTTATCCCACGGTTCTTACTACTTTCTGAAGCAGCTCTGGAGTCCTCTTTCTTGAATGTCTTTAGTCACACTGTCGTGGATGCCTTAGTGTCCTGAACTGATTAAAAATTACCTTTCATGGTCATTTTGACCTTGTGTAAGAGCCAGAAGCCACAGTATCAGGTCCACATTGGATGAGAACAGTGTAATGTTTTTATTTGACAGAAATTGCTGTGACTACAAACTGTAAATTGCTTTAGAAAGGAGCAAGACTCATGCAGTGTGTTCAAAGTGAGGGGGAGGATTTTGAGGGGGATTAATAGGAATATGTCTTTTACTATAATTTTAAAAATTCACCATATATTTTTAATCACACCACAATTGGTAGAATAAAAAGTTAATAATAAAAGTATTTTTAAACACTCAGGATTCTTTTTCATTTATTTATTGGTTTTTTGAGACAAGGTCTTGCTGTGTAATTCAGGCTGGCTTTTACCTCACTAGAGACCCAGGTTAGCTTCCAACTTGTGATCCTCCTGCCTCACCCTCCGAGTGCTGGACTCACAGGCATGTGCCACCAGCCCTGGCTCAGAGTTCTAAGCGGGGAAAAAGCACGATTTTCTTCTGAGGATTTTCACATGACTGCTCTGTGTCTTTGTTGTTTCTCCTTCAAAACAGGTCTCGCTGCTCTTCCAGTATTGTCTTCTTTGTAATCACAAGTCATGGGGGACCAGGACAAACACACCGAGTGTGAGGATTGGGAGCCACCCAAAGAGATGAACTGTGCAGCCGCTGGGCCTCCGGGAACACAGGTAAGACCGGAGGGCAAACATCGAAAAGCCCGGCCACTCCTTAAGGACAGGACTAGTGTTTCCCATCCTTAACTGCTGTGCTCTGATTCTCCACTCACAATGCTCCTTGCTCTCTGGCCCCATCTCATGGCACCCAGCTGCCCCACCTTCTACCTGAGGTGGACGGAACAGGGAGCCTGCAACTGTGTGTTCTGCCCCCAGTCTAATCACTAGGAGGATCCGGGTTTCTTCCTCTTTCTGTTGCATCAGAACAAGTAGGGGGATGAATGTGAATTGGTTTTCAACACAGAGTTATGTCTTCCTGAGCCACTTTGGTTACGTACCAGCCGTTATCCTGAATTATATATAAGCCGTGCCAATTCGTAAACCCAGTCCAGTACTGCAAAACATAATATTGTGTTTATTGTATGGAACTCAAGCATTTATAATTCTGAAAGTCGTGACTTGGTGCTAAGTACTGCACACGTAGGTCTTGTTCCAAGCACGTACTGATTTGTTAGTAATAACAAATAAGTTTTTTTAATAAAGTGTGACTTTTAATTCTAGTGATAGCAGCTTGTTTTGTAATGTGATGCACTGACTGGTGTAAAGATGTGTAGAAAACAAACTGTTCTAAGATTTTTTTTTAATTCCTTTAGTTTCAGGAGATGGTTATTAACGTCAGAGGCGTAGATGGAAGCGAACCCACCGAAGGGAGTAACCTGCTGAACAGTGAAGAGAAAAAGCTCCAGGAAGCCCCAGCTGAGTCGGGCTGTCTGCCGAGACTTAGACAGGCACTGTCCTGCCCTCCTCGTGGCTTACTGAACAGAGGCGTCACAAATGGTACATGTCCAGTTAGGATGGGTGCGAGGGGGTCTCTCTCAGGTGCGGCAAGGGATCCAAAATCATCATTCAAGGACAAAAAGAATTTTACTTCTCCCTCACATCAAAACTACCAGGTGAGCAGTCACAGTGCAGGTGGCCTGCTCCACGCTGCCACTCAAAGGCCAGGCTAACAGGGTCCCAGTGTACTCACCCGAGGCTCACATGATGACCGTGGGAAGGGACAGAATAGAAATCAAGGGACTGTGGCTTCTCTCTACCTGAGTACCTCTGCAGAATTACTTAAGGGCTCTGGTACAAAAATGTTTGAGAAATCACTTGTAAATGGAAAAGCATTACATAAATGTTAGCTGCTATGACTGCTGAACTAATTCAACTAATATTTTAGTGAAAAGAGCTCAGTTTGTATTTCCAGATGATCCTGTCTTTTTTTTTTTTGGAGACACAGTCTCACTATGCAGTTCTAATTGGCCTTGAACGCACTTTGTAGCCCAGGCTGGTCTTGAACTTGCAACGATCCTCCTGCCTCAACCTCGCAAGTGCTGGGGTTACAAGCATGCGCCCCAACACCTGACTCATTCTTGTCATTTTATAAGTAAAGGTCTTGGTTTGGTTTGCAGCTCAACTTACTGCCATAGGGCTACCAATTTTAAAACAACTTTCAAGGTTTGGGTGAAGGGAAAGTTTATCTCATCCGTGTTTTGAATATTTTACTATTAGAGTATATATTTCTTTAGGGAATAGATTTGGCTTGTGGAAGCACCCAGAGATTATATTATGAACTAGATGAATTTGTGTGCCATGTTGCCTTTTTGTTTGAAAAGGAAGAGTCTGTGTGTGTGTGTGTGTGTGTGTGTGTGTGTGTGTGTGTGTGTTTGTGTGTGCGTGTGTGGTGTGTGCGTTGTTTGTGTTTCATACTAGGTTTTAATATTCATAAATGTCGTAAGTGTTCATATTCTTAGAAAATAGTGCAGGAAGAGATACATTGCCATTGGTCCCTTTCAGAATACTTTGCCGTGCTTCCAGTCCATGTGTCCCGTCCATCTTGCCACTTTCTGAGACAGTTCTCAAAATCCTTCTTCGTGAATGTCTTTAGTTGCACCATCATGGCTGCCTCAATGTCCTGAATTTATTTAAATGTTTACATTTCATAGTCATTTTGACTTTGGGGAAGAGCCAGAAGTCGCCCAGTCCCAGCCTGGTGACTAAGGTGGGAGAGGACACCCCCTGATGTTGCTAAGCACCTACCTTTCTGTCAGAGGCTTTGGCAACAGCATTCACCATATTTTTGACCACAGCTCATAAGTAAACTCACAAAAGAGGACTTTCAGAGATGCTTCAGAAGGTGACAAGAATAGTAGAGTAACTGTGTTCACAGCCAGAGGAGTATGTTGAAGGGGATTAATGCCATTATGTCTTTTATTGTAATAGATTTTTAATTTACCCACTCAGTGTGTATTTTGATCACCTCTGTACATTAAGGAATATGGAATATGGTAGAAAAGGGACAAGGGATTTGAAAATTTTCTGTAAAGATAATTCAGAAATTGTACTGAGAAATAATATCGTTGGAGTAAATATATGGTCTCTTCTATATACTCTGTGTGATTACTGGGAAATGAGGCACAAGTCTTCATAGCTAAACTTCAGCTAGGAACTCTAGAAAATACTTTACTGTTTTCATCTGAGGCAATAAAAGCCAAGTACAATATGTTATACTTTACACTCTGGACATGTTTTTAATGAAACCAAGTAAGGTGCTGAACTAGCTTGGAAGAAAATCTCAAACTTCAGAACATAGAGTGATAACCTGATTCCAGAATATACACTAGCTGATCAGGATCACAGATTATTTAATACTTTAATACCCTGTCTGGACTTTTTATTATTTTTTTTAACTTTTACCTTTTAAAGTATGGCACATTTCTAGTAAAAATATTTATAGCAAATCAGACAAAAGGTAAAAATGAATGTATGATTTGAAAACTAACAGATGTGAGCTTCAGTCAACACTGCTGTCACTTAAACCAGTAATAATATCTGAATACAGTCTGTAAAGCCCAATTGAATAAAGAAAACAGTGATCAGAAACCAAAACTGAAATGTAAGTAAGAGAGGTAAATAAGCTCGCAGGCTGACTTTCCCGTGGAGGTTTCTACCAAGCTCTGGTGAAACCAAAAGTGATTTTGAGAACAGTGAGCACACTAAAGGCCAGCTGTCACCTGCCCGGGTGAGCACAGAGAAGGAAAAGTGATGCGATCCTTCACCCCCAGAGCAGCCGAAGGTGAGCCTCTCTGCAGCGAGGCCTGCACTGACACCTGCCTGTCTCCACTAAAACTGTGTAATTTACCCTGATGTGTACTCTCACAGAAAAAACTCTGTCCCAATGTGTGCTTCCAGAGGTCCTGGGCTGTCAACTTGTAAGCGCGTGATCGAGACAAACACAGACCCCACCTAGGAAACTCACATTCAACTTAGATTTGAAGTTTATCACATTCAAAAAAACAAACTTTAAAATACAAAAGAAACAAGAAAATAGAGATTTTATAATTTGACATTACTATAAAATAGAATATAAAGCATTTTTTGTATATGTAAAGAAGTTAAAGAAGAAAAATAAATAGGAATTCAACAGATTAACTATTAATATTAACAGAACTGTGGGCCAGGGATTTAGCTCCGAGGCTCAGATGCCTGCCTGGTAAGCGTGAGGTCATGAGTTCAATCCCTGTTATCAAAAAAACAAAAAACGGCTGAATAAGAATCATCTTAACGGGGCTGGGGATTTAGCTCAGCCGCATAAGCACCTGCCTTGCAAGCAGGTGATCATGAGTTCCATCCCTGGTACCGATAAAAAGAGAAAAAAAAAAAAAAAGAATCATCATAACTTCTGAAAATAAAAGATATAGGACAATAATTGAAATTTAAAGCTCAATTAACAGAATAAGCAGCAAGGTAAGTAAAAATAAAATTGGTGAACTGGCAAGTAGAGCTTTCCCAGAATGCAGTACACAAAAAAGTGAAATATGATGCTAGGCTTAGCAACTTGGAAACAGGGTGGACACCCAACCTTAAAATAAGAAAGAAATCTTAAAAAAAAAAAACAGGCAGAACTTTCCAGAATCAATTTTTTAAAAAGTAAATCCTAAGTCAAACCAAAAAGTTCACATAAATATACTGTAAAATGATAGATCCAAAACAGAAGATCCTAACATCAGCCAGAGAAACAAAGTTTTGTAAAAGAGTCAATCAGACTTTATAACAATAAAAGACAGGACACCAAAGAATAATAGTTTCAATGAAGTGAGATCAAATAACTCTTAGCCTGCAATTTCAGGTGAACCCAAAATTGGCCTAGAAAAACCTCTTTCAAGATAAACACTGATTTCAGACCACAAAACCAATAATTTAGTAGCAAAGATCCCCATGAGAAATGCAGTGAGTTCTGACAGGGACGTTTCTACACCATGAAGGAGCTCATGAGCAATTCAGACAGGGAATTGTGTCCTTGGAGTAAGGAGTTTGCCTTTGGGGGCATCGTTTTTCTAGCATATTAGTATTTTGCATCATTTAGCAATAGCAAGCAAAGACAAGGCGAACAGAAGACAAACAAAAAAGATCAGGTGTCTGCCATTTCCCAGTTTAAAAAAAGCCTCCCTTGCGTGGGAACCTTTTAAAGCTGAGCTTCCCATTGAGGTGCCTATTTTCAGACCTTCAGTAGCTGCCTTAGGAGCATCGAGGGCTCTCTCCTGTCCGCAGCTGTGGGCTTCCTAGTGCAACTAGTCACATGCATGAAAGCGCAGACATCACAAAGGGAGAAACTGCAGTCAATTTTCCCTCTGTTCATTTTTCTTTTTATTTTGAAAATGGAGAAGGCTCTAGCCTGGGTTATTTTGATGGAGTGGCTGTGTTTTTAAAATCGATGTCTCGGAGGCCAGGGACTTAGTTCAGTGGCATAAGTGCCTGCCTGGCAAGCACAAAGTTGCCAGTTCGATCCCTGGTACCAAAAAATAAAAATAAAGTCAATGTCTACACGAATCGGCATCTCAAGTAGGAAGTCTGCAAAGAACACACTGAGTGTAAGACAGACATCCATGGAGTTCAGCTGTGCTCTTACTGTTACTAGGTTTGTGTTTATTTTTGATGCTTTGGTCATAAGGTTTGAGTTTGAAGTGGTGTGCCCCAATGCAGTCTTCCCGTGAGCTTTTCTATTTTGAGTATTATCATTTCATAAGACAAACTTATGAAGTTGTGAATCATTTAAGAAACATTTCACATTTTGACAAAAAAATATGTTTACTAAAGGAAGTCATTCACGAATCAGGCTAATTGTCCTAGGTAAAAAGTTTGAGATGCCATATTGAATGATGGTTTATTTTTTTTTTAAAGGTAAGTATAGGCGGCCTTGTGACTGGAAAATACAGCAAAAGCTTAGTCTTTGGGGTAGCCCCAGTCCCCACCGCACCCTGGGCAGAGGTCCAGCTGCTTTCCCTGCCTGAGGCCTCCTTCCTCAGTTCCCAAGTGTGTCTGAGCTCCCCAGGGGCCTTGGCCCTCGAGGGGAATCTTCAGTGAGCCAAGGCCCAGGGTGATGGGAACCGGCTCTGCGGAGTAAGGGAGATAAGTTATGAAAGAAGTAATAGCAGTGAATTGATGAAGACTCCATCAGATCAGATCTGGATGATGGTATAAGTGAACATTCAGGTGACTGGGTGGATCAGGAATCAGTTTCAGATCAATTCAGAATTTGGAGTTGAATCTCTTTGATTTGGAAGATTATAGTGTTAGTGAAGAAGGACAGGAACTCTTGGGTGAAGATGATGAAGGCCGGCCGTCAAATACTGTGATTCAGGCAGGGGAAGGTGATACTGATTCATCTGAAAAGGTCCTGAAATCCCTTACTGACAATTGGAAGTATACTTCATGCAGTGAATGAAATGAATTCTTCTCTTCCATCCCAGTGCAACAAATGAAGGGCCGTTCATGAGGACCGGCTTCTGGAAGATAAAGAGGAAGTCTGAGAAAGCTAAATTAGAAAATTCAATACAAGGGGCTGGGGATTTAGCTCAGAGGCATAAGCGCCTGCCTTACAAGTGTGAGGTCGTGAGTTCGATCCCTGGTACTAATAAAAACAAAAAAGACAAAAAATAAATTAATTAAAAAAATAATAAAATTCAGTACCGGTGGATGAGGGCTTGGGTGTGCTTGATGGCCCCAAAACTGCAATAGACAGTTCTGGAGAGACGGTTCAACCTGTGTTGATAAAAATAATGATAAAGTCACACAAGCTTCCCAGTCACAGGCAAGTGAGGACCAAACTCAGCCATCAGTTTGCAGTAGCACTAATAGCAGCCAAGAAGATGTTAAAAGTTTAAGAAGGAAAAAACAAGAAAGTCGTGGAATCTAGTTTTCCTCTTACTGCTCTTGACTCTTGTGTGATTTGCCAAGATCAACCTAAAAATGGTTGGATTGTTCATGGCAAAATGGGACACTTCATGTCAGATTTCACATGTGCAGAGAATCTAAAGGAAAGAAAGAAAACCTGCCCAGTATGCCAAAACCCAATTCAAATGATTGTGCTAACTTAGGTCAGCTAGCTAACATATCCATGTCAGCCTGCTCGGGGCCCAAAGGAGATTTTCACAGGTGAGGTCCCAAGGTTAAAGAATGGATGTGTGCAAGACATCAGCAGCGACAGCAGGCAGCATTGAGCAGAGCAGAGCAGAGAGCCAGAGGCAGAGCGCTATCTCCATCTTTATTGTGTAATTCTTATACAAGTTGTTACCTCATGTTTACATTCTTACATAGTGCCGTCACCAGCGCGTGCGTGTTTGCCTGTGCTAAGTCACACGAATGGAATTACTTCCCACTATGCCTCTGCTGTACAGGAGAGGTCACGTGTTTAGTGGCCTTAGACACCCCTGATTTTTGACACAGTCTGAGTGGTTCCCCACTTTCCCCATAAAGTATATATTTTAAATGTCTAACTATATAACCCTAAAAATTTAGAAAACACAGACTTTATGAACATATATCAAAGCGAGAAATATAAGTAGAACATTTAACTGTAACTTGTTTAGTAGCTTTGTGTAAGGAGAAAAATGTAGAAAAGTTAATATTTAAAATGTAGATACTAGTTTTTCTTCTCTTTCATAAGTTCTTGTTTATATTTGGTGCTACTTAGGTAAAAATGTACCATTTATTTTAATCATCAGTGAAGTAGTGAAAATTACCAGAATTGGTAATAATAATTGAGATTATAAATGACAACAATGTAATAAATGCTATTCAACATTCAGCTCTGCAAATTGGGTCTCATTTTACATGCTTATGGATTACTAATGTAACGATAAATGCCTGATTTTTTAGGTTTTTGTATATGCATGTTACATGTTGATTTACAAATAAATAATTTATTGAAAGTTTAAAAAACAAAAATAAAAAGGTAAGTATGTGTATAATTCTAAGAAAACATTCACTGCAAAGAGAAGTAATGATGATGTTTACTTAAGGAAGTTGCCTAGAGGGGTCTGAGGCGGTCCCCCCAAAGAAGAGATGGATTCTGAAAAACAATTAACAGAGACAGCCTACAGATAGGAGAAACTGTTAACCATCTGCTCTTCAGACAGGGGATTAATATCTAGAGTATATAAAGAACACAAAAAATTCACCACCAACAGCAATGAATAACCCAGCCAACAAAGTGGCAAATGAGTTGAATAGACACTTTTCAAAAGAAAAAGTATAAATGACCATAAATCAACGCAAAAAAATGTTCCGCATCTTTAGCCATTACAGAAATGCAAATCAAAAGTACACTGAGACTGCCTCTCACCCAGAGTGGCTATCATCAAGGACATAAAACTCAATGCAGATGAGGATGTAGGGAAGAAGGAACCCTCCCGGACTGCACATGGAAATGTAAACTATCACTGTGGAAATCAGTAGGGAGGATCCTCAAGAAACTAAAACTAAAAATACCATTTGATCCAGCTGTCCTGCTCTTTAGTATATTCCTGAAAGAATTAAAAACAACACACTGTAGTGACACATGTTCAGAGCAACATAATTCACAATAGCTAAGCTGTGGAAATAGCCTATGTGATCATCAGCAAATGAATGGTAAATAAAATGAGGTGTATATACACAGTGGGATATTATTTAGCCATGAAGAATAATGAAATCATCCCATTTACAGAGGCCATCATGTCAAATGAAGTAAACCAGTCTTAAACATCTCATGTTTTCTCTTACACTAGGAGCAATATAAATGAATGAATGAATGAGAGATTATAGGAAACCTGAAAGTAGACTTTTGAAGATAGGAAAGGGACCAGAAGGAGGATGGAGAAAGAAATGGGGATAAAAATAATCAAAATATGCAATAGACATACACCAGTATTTCAAAATGAATCATGTTATTCTGTAACACTAATATGCACCATTTAAAGAAAAAAAAAGAGATAGACAACCTCTGCCTGGCCCGGGCAGATTCCTGATGTCTTATTGCAGAAAAGCATTGCAGGACTCATCAGAGAGTGGCACCAGCAGGTTTATTGGGCAGAGTTAGAAATAAGAGACCCTGGGACAGAACACAGCCTGAGCCCTGGAGGAGGCGCAGCTCCACTGCAGAGCAGCCTGGCAGAGGGACCAAGGAGCAAAGCCAGTCCTTCGAGGGGCTGAGGTGGTTTGGGTCCAGGCGAGCACGGTGTCAGTTCTGGTTTTGCAGGATGGCTCGGAAAGTCCCTATTGCTTGGAAGGAGGGAGTCCATGATTGTTATTGATCGGGGAATCCAAGATGACCATAGCTTAAGGCAGTGATGCCTCCTGTAACTCGGGTCCCTGTAAATCTCTTCTCTTGGTGCCTCTGGTCTCAAAGGGATAAGATACATTATGTAAATTTTGAGCTAATCAACCTTATTACCAGCTTTTAGACAGACTTTCCCTCAGTGACTAACACACCTGCATGAAGATGTGAGCAGAAACTTGACCCAAACATAGAAAGTGTTAAGGAGACGATGCAAAGTGAGGGTCTTGAGCATCTGTAAGCCCAGATGAAATGTCACTGGTAGTTGTTGATGTTTGTTTTAACAAAAGCAGTTTGTAAGTTCCTGACCACTCCCGAGGAAAACACACTTCATGCTTTTAATAAGTAACAGGTTAAGGCCCCAGGAATTTACCTGCCCTTTGCCCACCATGCTGGTGTCTGTCTTCGAATTATCATACTGCAGCATGATTGGAATTCAAGTATTGTCGCATTTCTGTGAGGAGGGTAAAGATACTGATTGTTTCACTTCTCATATGAACTGCTACTACATTTGTCATAAATTTGTAAAGAAAAACAAGAGAATGGTTAAAACAAAGTAATGATTCCTTCTGGTAGTGGGATGGAAGGTGGAGGTGGGGGGGGGCACACCGGCTTATTTGAAGGACTGGTGATCTGATTTTTAAAATGCTTACTATGGGGCTGGGGATTTAGCTCAGTGGCATAAGCACCTGCCTTGCAAGCAGGCAGTCATGGGTTCGATCCCCGGTACCGATAAAAAAAGAAAAAGACAAAAAAAAATGCTTAGCCATGGCACATTTCTCCATTTCTTGATGTTTCTGCTTTATACACAGTTACAAATATTTGCCTGCGCAATGTTTAATTTTTTATTAAATTTTTCCTTTTACTATTACAGGTTTGCAGTACATAATGATGATATACTCATAAGCAGTGGGTTTGGTGTTTAAGAATTATTCTAGATTATATGAAAATGTGTGGTTAACAACTTCTTGACAGGAACTGGCTTTCTTGCTTTATTCCAGTCACCATGGCAGTCCTCCTGTGGGCTGTAGTTTGGTCCATCACGGACAGTGAGTGTCTCCCAGGAGGAAACCTATTCGGAATCATCATCCTGTTCTACTGTGCTGTCATTGGAGGAAAGCTCCTGGGGCTTGTTAAGTTACCAACACTGCCTCCACTGCCTCCTCTTCTTGGTAAGTGCAGAAACACGCTTTCTTTGCTTCAAAGTAAATACCTTTTAAACAGTAGTTTGCAAAGCTTTGGTAAATAAATGAAATATTTCTATATTTTCTATGCTGGAGACAGAAGCCAAAAAGCACTGGGTTTTGCCTTTCTAGGCATGCTGCTGGCTGGGTTTCTGCTCAGAAACATCCCAGTCATCTGTGACAATGTGCGCATCGAGCACAGGTGGTCTTCCTCCCTGAGAAGCATCGCCTTGTCTGTCATACTGGTGCGCGCTGGCCTTGGGCTGGACTCAAAGGTAAGACGCGTGCATCTCTAATTATTAAACAGGAACCATGTTTCTCCCGTGTCCCAAGTATCTAGGATCCCCAGCCTCAGGAAAGGAAGTGGACACTTTGCATGGCATTCTTGAGAAGAAAATGGATGTAGCTCCTGCAGGGCTGCTCTTCAGGGAGCAACTTGTGTTTCACAGCAAGCGAGATGATGTCACCATGCTCTTTCTCAGAGAAAGATGCATTTGGTGTCGTTAAAGAGCTGCTGCTCCCCTGACAAATACAAGCCATGCTTCAGGTGGTGGCTGTGCAAGGCTGCATGTGAGTAGGGAGGGCTGACTGCGCTGCCTGGACATCCAGAGCCTGTTCCTCCTGATGCCTTGTGCGCATCTCTAATTTTGGGAATTCCTGGGAGGATGATGCTCCCCCCCCCCCGGAGCCTCATTCTTGGGCTGCACTAAAGTCAGCAAGTCTGTGGCCTCAGAGCAGTAGACTCTGCAAGCTGTGGCTGGTGCAGACCTGGCCCCACTGCTCACCAGTTTCATGACTTAACTTGGTAAATGACTTAACTTGAGAGGAGAGCATCTAAGAGATGAGGAGAAGCATGTTAGCTACCTCAGGGTCATTGTGAAGACAACACAAGCAGTCTCCAAATCACTTAGAATGCATCAGTGTTTGTTAAGTGAAACTGAACACCTAGAAAACTCACTCTGCCCAGTTTGGTAAGAAAGCTGCAGAGGCACTGAGGCTACCAGGGCTGCAGGGTGTTGCATCAGGGTGTCTGCTTACACTCCAGGCCCTGCAGAAGCTGAAGGGTGTCTGCATGCGCCTGTCCCTGGGTCCCTGCACCGTGGAGGCGTGTGCGGCCGCCGTGCTTGCCCACTTCCTGATGGGTCTGCCGTGGCAGTGGGGATTTATACTGGGGTAAGGATTCTCTTCTCTGTTGTACTGATGTGCAGTGACACCTGGGACTTTCCCTGATTCTACACCAGTGTGTATACGAGTGTTTTCTGAAGGACACCAACAATCTCAACCTGGGTAATCCAGCATGGCCTCAGTTTCCTCTCCCAGGTAGAGTCTGCTCTCTGCTTTCCTGGAGACTGTAGTCATTTGGACTGTTGAGGAGAGCACAGGCTTCAGACTGCACCCAACCCCACGCCTGTGAGAGGTGCTGGGTCACACCCCAGAGTCTGCACTAATGACCCCCACACATCTGGCAGTGATCAGAGCCTTCCTCTGCCCCCATGGTTCTCCTGTTCCTTCCTCCAGGCTCAGCCTTTCACCTCCAGTGGTGAGGAGCCATAGGAAGCAGCAAGGGCATGAGTAAGTCCTTAGTAGGAGTTTGGAGCGGATATGAGGCAGGAAATAAGAACTTCCTGCTTCTCAGGGTGACAGCTATGGAGCTCTGCTGCCTAGATCCACCCAGCTCTGCCACTCCTGAAGTGTCACACAGCATCTATCTGACAGGGTTGTGGTAAGAGTGAAATTAGCTCATGGGAAGTGTTCCAGGGCCAGGGATTTAGCTCAGTGGTGTAAATGCCCACCTGACAAGCATGAGGTTGTGAGTTTGATCCCAGGTACAAAAAAAAACAATGTTCCAAATGTGGTCCCATGCAGGAAGCATTTCAGATGCTTTCAGTTACAGCTGTGGCTATGAATAATGCCACTTCTAGTCACCATGGCCTTCTCCGGAGGACGTGCATCTTGCTGTATAAGTACCAGCCTGGCAAGCGAGAGGTTGTGAATTAGATCCTCGCTACTGGGGAGGGTGGGAGAACCCTCACATGAATGTTTAAAACAGCTTTCTGGGCCCAATAATACCCTATTGGTTCTCCCATGCCATTCATAAATATATAATACCTATTTTAGGCAATTGGGTTCCCAAACAGGTTACTTAGGAATTCGTTGTTGTAGGGAACGCTCATGTCCGTGTATTGCTGGACTGGCATTTCTCTGCCATTTGAAAGACCATCCTTGTGCAAAGTGTAGTCTTTGAAAGAGTCGAAGTTAAAACTCTGGAGATGCTCCTGGATTTGGACGTGATAACAGAGTGAGGTTCTGTCCTGCCATCTGATGTGCTGTGTGCCAGTTTCGTCCTAGGCGCTGTGTCCCCAGCCGTGGTGGTGCCTTCGATGCTCCTCCTGCAGGAGGGAGGCTATGGGGTGGAGAAGGGGGTCCCCACCTTACTCATGGCTGCGGGCAGCTTCGATGACGTCCTGGCCATCACCGGCTTCAACACGTGCCTGGGCATAGCCTTTTCCACAGGTAAACTAATCTGTGCTCCACACGTTGCTCTTTTCCTTTGGAGACGTCGCTTAAAATATTATAAGCTTAAGGAAGTTAAGTAATATGGAAAACGGCAGCAAGAGTTGCATACCTAAGGAGGGACAAGAGGGACAGGAGCTACAGATCCCCCCCCCCCTCAATACAGGGTGTGCAAGTGGCATGCCACGGGCAGAGGAGGAGTTCAGGGCTGTGGTGTGCAGAGATGTGGGCAAGTTTAATCGCAGTGACCTCAGACAAAGGGTGAGCGGGTTTCTCAGTGGGGCACAGTACAGACAGCAGCCCCGCAGTGGGGAGCAGTGCACCTCCAAGACAAGGTTTACACGCCCCCCTTGTTAACATGTGATGGACCAGAGCGGCCATGGTGTTTCACGGGTGCCATGTCAATGCTCAGTAAGGCTCCGCATGGGTGTGTTTTGTACCAAGTAGTAACAGTAAAGGAGCTCGAGGCATACCACATGCCCACGCCCCCACACACACACCATTCATCGATACCTTTGTTAAACAGATGTGGGCCAAAGGCTGAGAAACGATTCCATGCCTTTTGTGTTGGCCCAGCACCAATTTAACTTTCTTCCTTAATCTTTTATCTAAAACTAGGAAATAAAGTTTGTACCTCCTGTTATTAGCAGAGCATACTCATGGCATGCGTTCAGCTTGGAGTCTTTCTTGGAAGCGCACAGTCCAGGGGAGGCCCAGGCTCCCCCATTCCTGCCCTCTCCTACACTGCCTGTGGGCCGATGCCATACTATTTTTACCAATGAATGGTGCCTCACCCTATCCCACCGCTCAGCTCCAGCAGCTGCCCTCCACCCAGGCCCTAGTAAATTTGTCTTCCCAAAGCAATTTGCATAGTGTCACTTCCGAGTCTAGGAACTAGCAAAGATTCTAGGTTTACCTACTGAGCCCAGTCAACACGCATGTGTGCATTGTAACACTGTCGTACCCGTGGAAACTTGTTCTCTCACTGTGTTCTGCCATGTACACCTTTAAAACAGGGGGCCTCTCGTGCAGGGGATGTAGCCCAGCAGCACAAGTGCCTGCCTGGCAAGTGTAAGGTCATGAGTTCAACTCCCAATACCAAAAAAAAAAAAAAAAAAAAACAGTGGATCTTGATCTTAGCTGTACATTAGAATTAGCTGGAGAGTTGGGAAAAAATGTGCTTTTCACTTCTGCCAATTAAATCAGAACCTTTGAGAGTGGAAGCAGGGGTCCCTCACAGCACAGAGCTGGCAGGAGCATCGCAGGGTGGGGTCCTGGGGCAGGAAGGGCTTTCTTGGTCTGGCCAGCTCTTGTACAAAGACAGGCTCTGCCTGGTGGGCTCTGTCCCATTGCCCTGCTTGTCCCGCTAAGGGCAGTCCTTAGACCTTCTGGACCTGAGCCCTACTGGCTTCACTCAATTAGAATTTTTAAGGATGGGGCACAAGAGGTTTCTAAAAACACCTCTCCAAGCAAGAGATTGAAACTAGTTAGCCACTTCTGTTCATTAGCTTAAACGTAAAGCTCCAACCACAACTCAGTGCTACACTGTTTGCCTAGCAGACAGAAGCTAGCTAAGAAAAATCACTCTGAGCAGTTACTTTAAATAAGGGGGGTAATCGTTCTCACAAGGAGAAACCACAGTAAGGGAAATACCTTGTGCCTCGGGCTGTCCTGAAGAATGGGTTTACATAGGGAAGCAATTTCAGTGTAATTTCCCATACGCTATGCTCAGAAATTGTTTCAAATTAAAGTTTCCTTAATCTCCTGTTGTGCAAGGCTTCATTTATGGCTGTAATATTTCAAAAGAGCTAAGCAGCAAGCAGGAGCTTCCAGAGACATTTCCAAAGTTATTTTTTTTTCCATATTTACTGTTGTAATAGACCTTTGAGAAGGAACAGGAAGACTTTTAATTTTCACTGCCACATTCTTAAATTATTTTCTTCTGTACATCTCAGAGCTATTAAAGTCAATGTTTACTTATTACTTTGTATAAAAATGAGCTCTTACATAGTAATTTTAAAACATAGCTAGATCTATCTACTCACCTATCTTAGTACATAATATAGTAAAACAACCCGAATCAAAGTCAGTGGTCAGGTTCAGTGTTGACCTTGTGGGGAAATTTGATTTAGCTCTTATTCAATTCACTTTGCAACCAGAGTTGTAGAAAGAGTTAATTCTATGAACTAAGGCACCACCGAACTCTGCTTATAATAAATCTTAAGTCACTTATTTTTTCCAGTACCAAGGATTGAACTCACGACCTCTCACTTGCCGGGCAGGTACTTATGCTGCTGAGCTAAATTCCTGGCCCCTTCCCCTTTTTTTTAAGACAAGGTCTCACTATGTAGCTCAGGCTGTCCTTGAACTTACTAGGAGTTCAGAGTGGCCTCAAACTTGAAGTGAGCCTTCTGCCTCAGGCTCCCAATCCCAGCCATCCCAGCTGGGATTACAGGTATGCACCACTATGCCTGGCTAAGTCTCCTATATTTCAGGCTGTAAAATGAGGAGCTGCCCACGGAGCACAGCACTCTTAGGATCTTTATGTTGATGACTACAGACCAACACTTGCAAGTCAATGGGAATATGATTCCGTCTGAAGTTTTTTTCGGATGTGTTTTTCAGGCTCTACCATGTTTAATGTCCTCAAAGGTGTTCTGGAGGTGGTGATTGGTGTGGCAACTGGAGTTCTTCTTGGATTTTTTATTCGGTATTTTCCAAGCCATGACCAGGTGAAAGAAATCATCTGTGGGAAAGTTAGAATGTCACTGGAAGAACATTCGGGAACGTGTACCTCAAAGCTGGATGTGAAGAGCATGTTTAAGAAATGATCCCTGTTTTAACATTGCTCACTGCTATATCAGTGTTATTCATGAGATTTTAGTGCAGTCCTAATATCATTTTCTGTAATTTATATTCTGAACATTTCCTATTTCATTCTAAAACAAATAACATTAATTCCAAAAGGCTAAACAAGTTTTTGAAACTTCATAATACTCCACTAAATTAAGAGACATGATGGCTTTTAGCCTCTGTTTTTGTTAGATTTTAATCAAATGGATACGTCTTAACATTTCATTATAACATAGCAAAATGTTTCTCCATAAAGAGAACCAAGTTCTTTACTGTAATGAAAAGCAAAGTTTTATTTTCTTTTACCCTGTAATTCTCTAAAGGAAGATAAATATATGGAAATGTTTTCTTTTGGTAAAACTGGTATTATTTTGAAGTTTCAGGACATTTGAATGGAATTCGAAACTTTTAAGTTACTTTTAAGGAACTTTTAATGTTTCTATTATCAAACTGTGTTGATTTGAATTTTTATTATGCTTCAAAACACTCTAATTTGAAAATTTGAAAAAAAATGTTATCAATGTGTAAAAGAGAATTACAGAGCAGGGGCACTTGGGGGTACTTGGGAGGCTGAGGCAGGAGGATCACAAGTTCAAGGCCTGCTTGGACTGCAAAGCACATTCAGAGCCAGCGTGTACTATGTATATAAGGAGGCCCTGTCTCAAAAAAAAGAAAAGGAAGAAAGAAGGAAAAAATCATAGGATTATTATAATTACACAGTAAAATAAACAGATGCAGTAGCTCACACCACATTTCTTACAGCTGTGCAGATGAGTGAAGTGAAGTCTGGTTTGGTGGCCCGCTGCTCTGTCGCCAGCCACCAGCCGGTAGACAGACAGATGTTTTCACCATCACCGAACGTCCTGAGGGAAGTCTGTCCGGTGCAGTCCACACACGATCCCTAGGCAGAGCACTGAAGCCCACAGGGAAACAGGCCTGTGGGACCAGGGGCTTGCACAGTCACTGGCTAGAAAGCAACCAGGCTGCAAGGAGTGAGGTGACCCACGCTAGGCTGGGCACCCCCAGGAAGGCACTGTGGAGACTGCTTTCTGCCGAGATCAGCGATATAAGAGGGGAAAATGAAGGGAGAGGGACAGGGTCCTAGACGGCAGGAAAACAGACAACAGCTCTTACTTCCTAAAAACCTTCCTGGTATTCAGGAACTTGGGAACAAAAGCCAAGTATCATGAGAAAGAGTGCACAGAGACTGAGAAGCATAGATATATTTTTCTTTCTTTTAGGGAGAAGCATACTGGAAATTGTACCCAGAGACTTTGTATCAATAGAGCTATATGCCCAAGCTTTTCTAAGACTTCTTAAATTTTGGAGGCAGGTTCAGGGCAGGCTCAGCTAGAACTTGCCATCCTCCCCTCAGCCTCCCAGGGAGCCGGGATGCCAGGCGCGCACCACCAGGCCGCTTAGCAATGCAGCTTTAACCTTCACCAAAACCCCGTGGCCTGAGTCTTTGTAGAGAACAGGTCACAGCTGGGACAGACGAAGCAAGGACGCCGATAGGCTGGCCTGTGGCCCTTGCCTCTCTGCCGCTCCGCCAGGCCAAGCCTGCACTGCTAACTGCGCGGTGGGGACCTGGCTTCCTAAAGGAGGGCTGGTTGCACACGCACCACCTGCACTCTGTGAAGGAAGAGGAAGCAACTTCTGCGCTCACAAAGGACATTTTGTTTTCCTCAGAACGCCAGATGGGCAGCCAGTCCTAACAGGTGCTTCACATGCTGTCCCTCTGTCCCACAGGCCGCCCTGGTGCTGACCCGCGCCTCCCTGCTGCTGGGCCTCTCCGTGCTGGCCGTGTTCAGCAGTGTGCGCTTCGGTGTCCCTGGCTCGGGTGGGCTGTGCACGCTGGTCGCTGCCTTCCTGGCAGGCTTGGGATGGGGCGACGCAAAGGTGATGTGTTTACGATTAATCTTTTCTGTTCAGATGCTCAACCCTAGTCAGGTGTTTGACCTTAAGAGCTATTTTCTGCACATACGCAGATGTTCCCCAGCGCAAGCACCCATAGCTTCCTCCCATCAGTCTGGCATTGAGGTCTCACTTACATGGTGGCCAGGGCCACAGACTGTCACACTGTGTAAGTGAAGACCTCTCTTTACACGCACATGCATGTGTGTACTCACACGGAGTACCATACATAGTTTGTCATTCCATTCCATATATATATTACACACAGTCTTGCTATTTAAATCAAGCTGAAATCAAATTTCTGATCATTTTCTTACGACAGATTCCTGAAATCTGGGGGTCTAGTAATATAATCATTTTGAGAGCTTTAATGCATATTGTCAAACCGCTTTCTAGAGTTGTATATGTCCACTAATGCACGAAGTACTATCTTCTTATGACTTTACCAGCTTAGAACTGTTTCCTAAACTTTAAAATCAATCAAAATTACCTGGAAGGCTGAAATTAAATTTTCTGGACCCTATGTTCAATTTAGGCAGACTTCAGTGGGGCTGAGAATTTGTACTTCTGTCCTGTTGCTGCCACTCTGAGGACCACACTCGTGCACTGATTTATGTGCTTTCACTTGTTGGATGAGAAGACACCAGACCTTTATTCAGACATTCAGAGCAGCGGTTCCTTAATTTTTGCACCAACCTGCAGGGTGCCAGGGAAAGACCCTGCTGGCATCCTCTCCCTGACCCACACTGTGGCTGACCCACACAGTGGGCTGCCCTGGGCACGCACTCCCTGGCTCCCTTTGCTTCCTGTCTTGTCCTGAGTGCCCGCGGTGACACCGAGGGCCTTACACACGCAAGCGAAGCACTCTGCCCGGAACTGCAGCCCTGTCGGGCTCCCTTTTGAGTATTTGCCTTCACACGTTTCAGAAAGCTGTGTCCTCAGATTTCACATTAGTAAGATTCTTAAAATTCGTCACTTACCATAGTAAAAATGTCTTTGTGTTCTGCTTTTCTCTTAGGGTGAGGTTGAACGGGTAATTGCCATTGCCTGGGACATTTTCCAGCCGCTTCTTTTTGGCCTGATTGGAGCAGAGGTATCTATTGCATCTCTCAGACCAGAAACTGTTGGTAAGAATTTCAAAGTGGTTCTTTTAATAAATCAGATCTCTATATATTCAGTTGCTACCTCTTCAGTAGTTATATTTTGGGGGGTCCCGTTGTGTCACTTCTATAAAAGTTAATTATGACATAACTCTTTAAAGTAATTAGTTAGAAAATAATTCTTTCTTATCTAAAACAGTGACTTAATTTTTCCCTTAAGAATAAGAATGTTTACAGAGGCTTGTTCTGATCATGGCCTAGATTTCTTTTTCTTTTTTTTTTTTTTTTTGGTCTTTTTGAGACAGGCTCTCACTGCAGTTCAGCTGGCCTTGAGCTCACTTTGTAGCCCAGGTTGTTCTCAAACTTGCAATAATCCTCCTGCCTCAGCCTCCCAAGTACTGGGATTACAAGCAATGCACCCCCACGTCCAGCTTGGCCCAGAATTTTTAAAGATAATTCATTAGTTCTGTAATACAGACCCACGGAGGAGAAATGTTTGTCGTTCCTTCTTCTAAGTCACTCGTATGTTCAAAAGCCATCAGAGTGAAGCTGTCCTGGCTCACAACTCCGCTTTTATTGACTTGGGTGCCTGAAATCATTCTCTCCTTCTGTCGCAGCGTCTTCCTGCTCATGTCGGGATCCCTCCCCTGCTACAAATACAGATTCGTCCCTTTCCCTCCTCTATATCCAGCTGTCCTTTTTGTACGTTTTTTCCTCTTTAGAATTTAAATAGTCTTTAATCTCTTATCCTAAAAAGACATCCTTCCATTTGGACATACGCTGGAACGCCAGTGAACCTTGGTGCCTCATGTTACGTGAGATAAGCCAGGCATAGCAACGCTAACCTTGCGTGACAGCACTTATCCAATGTTCCCAGAGCAGCTGAGTTTGTAGGCACAGAGTATAACTGTGGTCCTCAGCACTGGGGCAGGGAGAATGGGTTACTGGCTGATGAGAATAGCATCTAAGTTTTTCAAGGCAAAAACGTTCTTGAGATTAGCAATATGCACAGTAGTGTCACTATACTGAATGGTACTGAACCAAATACTCGAATGGTTAGGATGGTAAATACGTATCTCACCACAGTGTAAAATAACATATGTTAAAAACGCTGAAAATTATGGCACAGTGATAGATGTAGTTCTCCATTTCGCTTACCCCTTTCCTACCACACCTTCTTCCTTCTTCCCAACTTTTCAAAAAAAAAAAAAAATAGCCCCGACGCCCCTCCCCACCTTGAGCCCCAGTTCTTTTCCTCAGTCCGTGTGCTCCCAAGGTGCATCGCTGAATCCAGTCGTTATTTCAGCTCTCAGCAACATTCGGTGCTACTGCATCTCTGAAACGCTCTTCGCTGAATCCTGTTGTTTTTTGGAGCCCTGTGTCCTTCTCCATGCCATAGGCAGCTCAGATGCTGCCCTTTGTCAGAGTTGTTTCCAGTGCTGGCCGTGGCATCCCCTGTGTGTCACCCCTCCGGCCTCACCTGCACGACATGACATGAAGTACAAACTACACCGTCCCCAAAACAACTCTCTTGTGTCCCATCCTGCAGGTAACAGAAGTTTTTGAATATCCCCAACTGGGTAGAAACTCTCTTCAGCAAAGCCACAGACACTTTCTAGAAGTTTCTACAGAAACCACCAGGTTGCAGCTACATCTCAGGTCCCCTGCAGTAGCCACACCCTTAGAAGCTGACTAGCCCTTCTGAACTGCTCTCATGCACAGGGGTGTGCTGTGGAGCTGCACTGTGTCCCCTCCGGAAGGGTTCTGTAGCTTTGTAAGACAGTAGCATTTCGAGTCCCTTCTGGTTGGCAGCTCCCCCATACTGCCTGATAAGCATAGATGCCACCACTAAGGGGTCCAGGGGCTTAGCTAAGCAGCATAAGTGGCTGCCAGGCAAGCGCGAGGTCATGAGTTCTATCCCCGGTACAAAAAAAAGAAAGAAAGAAAATGCCACTCCTGGTCTTCCTCACTGCAAAGGTTGCTAATGTACTTTGGTGAAATAGTTTTTCCTCTTCGACACTCATGTACCATTTTATCCTTCACGTTCCACACAGCGTACATGTTTCTTTCTGTTCTGTCTGCCTCCAGCTTAGAGCTGAATAGAAGAAAACACTGTACCTTTTATATTTTTTTATACTGGTTCCTGGTTTAAGGCATAGCATGCATACTATTTAATTCTCATTAAGTAAACACGTGGAAGAAAGTGTGGATCTTGCTGTAAAGTGTAAGAGATGTATATGAGCTGGCGTCTCTCCAGTAGTGCTTCATTATTTCTAAAGTTAAATGTTTCTTACAGGCTTCTGTGTGGCCACCTTGGGCGCTGCAGTTCTGATACGAATTCTGGCCACATTTCTCCTGGTTTGTTTTGCTGGCTTTAACATAAAGGAAAAGCTATTTATTTCTTTCGCTTGGCTTCCGAAGGCCACAGTCCAGGTAATGATGGACTTGACAGCTTACCATTTCTACTGCTGATTATGTATGATACCTCAAAATAGTGAATAAAAAGGCTTATTTAAATGTAGTGACAGTAGATAATTCCAGTTGGATTTATACGAGTCTACCCTTTAAAGATTTATCTTGGGGCCAAGTAAGATGGTGTACATCCCTGTAGTTCTCAGCTGCTTGGATGGCTGAAGCAGAAGGGTTGGAAGTCTGAGACAGCCTGACCCCATCCCTCAAAATGAAAACCTCACTTTTGGTAAATAGCTTATCTATATAAATAATAGCTTATTTAAGTACCTGTACATCATCCGAATAAAACTGGAAATCCAATAGACCCCTGCAGGAGTAAAAAGTAGTAGGAACAGGAGGAATTTGAGTCTTTATCATTCGGAGCTCTTTAACTGAAGAAAGAGATGTGAACTCTTTATTTCAGTATCTTCCAGAAGAGAGTACGAAAGAAATGGCATGGCCTAGCCTAGTGTTTGGAAGTACTTCTGTGTCAATGTCACTGTTGACCTCAGGATACATAATCAAGCAAAGATTGAAAACACTCAGCAGCTGCTTTACTGTAATCCTCCTTCATTCCGTTTTACTTCCTAGTCCCCATGTCTGGTCACAACCCAACAATACTAAGTGGAAAATTCCAGAAGGGAGCAAAGCACGGCATGCTGTTTGAATATCAGGATGAAGCAATGCACTGCCCCACTCCATCCTGCAGTGTCTGCCTGAGGACATGAGTCTTCCCTTTGTCCAGCATGTCCACACTGTGCACCCCTTAGTCTCAGGTATCAGGTCACCTGGTTGCAGGGTGGCAGGGCTCTATGTTCAGGTGATCCTTGTTTTACACAATAATAGCCCAGAGCACAGGGCATGGTGGTGCCTGTGATTTGCATATGCGGAAGAGGAGACAGCCAGTGCTTCTAAAGGGTTAAAAGGTGAAATTTCTTAGCTTAATAAGGAGAAAGTATATCTACATATATGGTTCGTTACCATTTCATAAATGCACTGATAATCTTGGGACACATCCCCAAGGATAAGGGGCACTATTGTATTGACTTTCTAGATTGTTAATTGCTGTTAATTATTCACAACTAGCCAAAACTCCTAAGAAATGTCTCAATCTGTTGATCCAAAAATCTGTATACTCCAGTGAACAAATCACAGAGAGCATTTATAGGTGCTTCAAATATTGATTTGTGCATTTGTTAGAATACCTGTAATTGTTAATTAAATTAGGACTGTATAATACCTTGTTGCAAATGACTTGCATTTATATGCATTTGAATGCAAATGAAATGCAAATGCAATTGAATGCAAATGAAATGGTAAATACGTAGTACTATATATTTGGGATTACTTATAGCAATCAAGATAACCGTTCTGATTAATTTCAATTTATGATATATTCAGACTTTATTTTCATGCAATGGAAATCAGATGTTCTTAATTTAGGAGGCTTTGGAAGATGTTCTGTAATTATACCCCAGACTGTATAGGATTGTGGATTTATCCTAGAGTTTTTCTTTTTGTCCACCAGGCTGCTACATGGTAACTAACACTATTTATAACAACATCAGTAGATAAATACCAAAGTAGTGATTTTGTGTATGGAAGGTATGTTTCTAGATGCTAATGTTTCCCAGATGCCATTCTCCTACCATTAAAGCAATATTTTAAAATACGGAGAAATTATTGAGGATGTGTTGCACAATGTGTGTGTTGTGGAAGGCAGTCCCTCAGTATCCACTGGGGTATCCACTGGACCCCCTCCCATATCCCGGTGTAAGTTATGCACATCCTCCCGTATCCTCGAAATATCTCTAGATTACTTACAAAGCTTACTATAATGTAACTACTATGTGAATAGTTGTTATCACATTGGGGAACAATGACAAGGAAAAAGTCTGTACATGACCTGTACAGATACAATTTACTTTTAGTATTTTCAGCCTGTAGTTGGTTAAATTTATGGATGCAGAGCAGGGACATCAGGGTTGATGGGATGGTATAGAATTTTCTGTTTTCTTCTGTGGATAATGCACAAGAAACAAGACTTGCACGTAGATACTCACTGTGTATTAGTGTTTAAAAGTTCCTTTCCCTTGAGCTTCTAGGAAATCAACTTTAAATCACAATGTGGCACACATACAAATCCCGAAACATACATGCGCACGCACACACACACACACACACGTAGGGAACTGAAAGAGAAGCATACACTACTGTGTAATACGTGAAGTTCTTGTAAGGAACTCATGAACTGTTGAGTCAGTAGGGAACCCCAAGGTACCAGAGCTTCCGTGCACGGAGAGACCGCTCCCTGCTCTTCCATTAGAGGCCTGGTGACTGCTGTCCTCAGCAGGTGCCCCCATCTACGAGTCACAGTCGCCACGTTCCGCCCGCCCGGGGTTGGCAGAGGGAAGCCACGCGGAGCACGCGGCCAGTCCTTCCCGAAAGCACCTACCTGTGGCCCTCATCCCTTCCAAGCTCCTCTCAGTGGCCAGAACGTAGGTGAACAGCGACCTCTAGTGGTCAGCGGGCTGAGAAGACGGAAGTTCTGTGGACCACAGTGTGACCCACTGCTACATCCCAGCCTTCTTGTACAGGGAGATAGGACTTCAGAAGTTGGCGGGCAGCTGCCAGTCTCTGCCATGCTGTCTAATGCACAGCATTTCCCCTTCAGTGTCATCATCTTAGAGGCAGATATTGCTGTATTCTGAGATAATCACATTGATTAATAGAATTTTCTCTATGTGTGCTCAGAGTGTTACTTTTTACCTCTAAAAAAGCGAGAATTTTCATAAGATTTTCCGTAGTACGTGCTATGTAAAACATGCTACCAACTTTGGAGACAGAGTTATCCAAACACCTAACTATAACTTCATGTTTCAGATATGAACACTTTCATGGTCTGGGTTGTTTCATAGTTAGTTTAGGCTCTAAAACAGCACATTAGAATCCAATAAACTCTCTTGTTCTCTCCCTCGATGCACTACTGGGTATCGAACCCAGGGCTTTCTCACTGAGCTACATTCTCAACTCCAAGTTTGTTTGTTCGTTTTGAGACAATCCTCCTGCCTCAGTCTCCCAGAGTGGCGGATTTGCAGGCATGCACCATGCTTGGTCGTTTTTTTTTTGTTTTTGTTTTTGTTTTTTTTCTTAACTCCAAATTGTTAAAGACAAAACAATGAAAGAGCCAGAAGAAATTCAGTATGTAGAACTTGGACTTTGCATGCTTTTGATTAACACTGTCAGTCTGTTTTTTCCTTGCATTTTGAGATGTGGCAGATATTTAAGAAACTTACAAATAAGTACATACGCATCGTAAGTTTGACCCCATGCAGGGGCAGCGAGAAGCTGTAGGTAAAGCCAGCTGCAGTACCCTTTGAAAGACTAATGACTTCCTTAGTTGGGCAAAAGAATAAGCAGATTATTTTTTGCAAATATGTGCTTGTCTTGGCTTCAATTTTAGGCTGCAATAGGATCGGTGGCTCTGGACACAGCACGGTCACATGGAGATGAGCAGTTAGAACGCTATGGAATGGATGTGCTGACGGTGGCCTTTTTGGCCATTCTTATCACAGCCCCCATTGGAAGCCTACTTATCGGTTTGCTGGGCCCCAGGTTTCTTCAGAAGCTTGAACATCAAAATGAAGATGAAGTTCGACAGACTTCTGCGCAGCTTTAGAGGTGAAAAGAGGAAAATGCTAATGATTAGGAAGCTGTTAGCAGAGGCTAATTCTAGCAAGATGTATATTGAAATATGTAATGCTTAAGTCTAAAATGGTTTAGAACCAGAAGTGTGCCTATTTCTTTACACAGCAGTTTGAGCCCTTGCCCTTAGCATGTTAAGTGTTGTATTCTATGTCTTATCTCTCTACCTTTTTTTTTTTCTTTTCCAAAACACTTCTTCATTTTATATTGCTACCCTTCAATGCAAGTGATCCTTTTTTGGAATGCCATAACAGTGGAACAAAATGCAACATATTCTTTTCAAATTCAAAAGAATTTTTCAAGGTAACATAAATTACATGCAGACATTCAGAAAATTTCAGTCTTTTGCATAAATGTGATAATTTATATAAGGACATGTCTACAATTCAGAGTTAACAAAGGAAAGACCAATTTCAGAATCTCTTCAGCTACCCACCAGTTTCCTTAAACTTACTGTTAACTTTCATCAGTTTCATGATTTGTGTGGTCCCTTTGGCAGCCACTATCTAAATTTCCATGACTACTGAGTATTGGCTTTTCAATTTCTTTGTTTGTTGGTTTGTTTGTTTTTGGTACTGGGGATTGAAGTCACAACTGCGCACTTGCAAGGCAGGCGCTTATGCCACTGAGCTAAATCCCCAGCCCTTGGCTTTTGAGTTTCTTCTGTGGTCTCTGAAAACTTATGCTTATGACTGCAAAGTGTTTGTAGGAATTTATTCATTGCGAGATAATGCTGAAGTCAGAGTGAAAGGGCAGATGACACTGCAGGGCTATGTAAATTTTTTATCACCATGTTTAAAGTCATAGCTTGCTTTTCTCTCTCTTTTTTTTGGTTTGATTTTTGGAGGGGGGTGGGTATTGGGAATTGAACCCAGGACCTTGCACTTGCCAAGCAGGCACTGCGTGGCTGAGCTATAACCCCAACCCCTTGCTTTTCTTTTTGCTTCTATTTAATGCATTGGGGGTCAACCCTAGAACCTTACATGTGCTAGGCAAGCTCTCTGCTGCTGAGCTACAACTGAGCTACATCCCCAGCCCAAAGCCACAAGTCTTCTCTCAGTGATTCAGTTGGTGAAATCAAAGTTAGCTTATTCAAAGACTCATCAACCAAACTGGTATAGCCATACCAGTCAGGGATAGGAACAATTCTTCTGATCTCCAGGCCATCAGAACACATATCTGACCTTTTCAGGTTGTTTACATGTTTGTCCGCTATTAAATTGGCTCCTTGGGGGTAGAATACTTGTTTTAGTCATCTTTGTACCCCTAGCATTTTAGGGTATAGAACACAGCAGACATTTAATAAACATTGATTGAATCTGAGAGAAGGCCATATCCAGTGTAAGAAAACTTCTTGCCTTACAATTCCATTCTTTGTCTGCTTAGTCCAGTTTACTTACTTGAGTTGTTGTAACCTAATCACCTCCTCATAACCCATCTGTATACAATCACATTGGATGGTTAAGGCTTCGGTATAAGAATTGGCGATGGAACATATTTCAGTTTATAATTCACACAAGTGTCATTTTCCCAAAGGCAGTGCAAACTGACACAATGCATTCTTGTTCTTCAAAGACCTTCTTTCCTAGAGTCAGTAATGTCTACCTCACTACTAAGAGTTTACTTTTCCAGGTAAATAGTTAGGATTCAGCTCCTTAAACTATTGCCACAGTCTAGTATTTTTCTCTGGTATTAACTTCAGTAACCTTGATTGAAGTTGTATGTCCTCTAGATTTCCTTAGCCACACATTTACAAATAGTTTCACCTGTTACATTATTTTAGAAATAATTTTTCTGATTATAAAATAATATTTTCATTGCAGAAGACAACACAGAAAAGGGCAAGAAAGAACATTGAAACTGGCTTTAATATAAACATCCTTCATTTTGAATCTTCTAAATTTTACTTCTGCTATTTTGGAGAATCTTATTTTTAGAAAGCTATATCATCTACTGAATTGTGTGAAAGACAACATAAATATATTTGATTTTGTGAAGATACATAATTTGAATATTTTTATTATATAGAATACTGAGCCTTCACAATCATGTGTTCATCGTTATTCAAGTACTCATTTTTGATGAATACAATTCCTGCGTTTGTGAAGCTTGTATTTCAAAATCTATTCATCCTGTCACTCAAAATACACTTGCTACATGCCACTGTGTGCTGGGCATTGTGTGAAACACCGGGGAAGACAGTGATGAACAAGCTGGCCAAGGCCTCTGCCTGTAACGGAGCTTAGATTGTGGAGGAAGACTGACATTGTGGAGAAGAATACAAATATGAGTGGACATACTAGTTCACTTCAGGAACCTTACAAGGAAGCAAGATACTTACAGATCACTGTAGGCCATGTGAATAATTCAAAACTCGTTCCAAGTTGGGAAAAAAAGAGGTGTTCCATGAACTGGACCTTCTAGATTGGAGAAGATTTGCATGGATGGGTAGATATTAGGGAGTAAGATGAAGAAGGGAACAACACAGGGGAAAGCGGGTATATCAGCAGAGTTGGAAAACAGGGAAGCCTAGAGCATAGTGACAGGCACTTGAGAATGAGACAGAAGACCAGGAAATAAAGCACCGAAATACTAAATAGATCAATGACTAGGTATTTTTAATGAAGGGCTTTCAAAAGTACTAATGTAGAAGAGATTTCTAAAAATAGCTTCTATCATATCAAGTACAGTAAAAAAAAAAACAATAGATTGTCATGAGTAATCTTCCTTTTGTTATTCAGGTTTCTTGCTTTTGGCATTGTTGCAAATTGACTCATTTAAAATTACGATTATTTATATAAAAGGTATCAGCTGTATAAAATTACTTAAAACCAGTTATTTTCATTGTGTTGTCTTAAGTAAGTGGACATAATTTTTAAGTGTTCAGAATGTCATATTTCTGCATGAATCATTTATGTAGTAACAGGTGGAAATTGCTTCACGCCACTTTAAGAACAAGTGGCATCACATTTTTTGCTAACTCAAATTAAGTCTGGCCTCAGCCCTCTGACCTGGTGAGGAATTCCTAAACTTCCTTTATGGATGTGCCCTTCATCTTCCTTACAGGGACTCCAAAACACTTAAATCTCCAGGGTTCCATTGCTGCTGGAGCAGGCCGCTGGGCTCCCAGCAAGTCCACCTTTTCAGCTGGACCTTTTGTCCCTCATCTCTGTATCCTCAGAAAGCTAACTTATTTTTCCATGAGAACAAGGCATTTTATTAATCCTATCACAAAGACACTAGCTACTTTCCTAAAACCAGAGAGAAAATAACATGTTCTTCACTGAGATACCTACAACATGATGAAAAAAGGCAAATGATACAGTGAGCTCCTATGGAAACTGAAGAAAGGTGAAATTTCAGTCAGATCTTGAGTTAAATCCACTTTCCATTACTGCCACAAAACACTCAACACAGTCAACTTGTAAGGGAGAAATACTTTTTTTGGCTCATGGTTTCAGTCCACGATTAGTTGCTTTGGGGCTATGGAGAGGCATTACTCATAGTAGGGAGTCTGCGGTGGAGGAAAGCTGCTAACCTCATGCCCAGAGACCAAAAGGAAAGGGACTGAGGCCTCAGTGTCCCCCAGTAACCTGACTTCATTCCACAAGGCACTACTTCTTGTTGTTACCACAAGCTGAAGACTGAGCTTGTAGCACATGCTCTTTGGGGGACATTTAATATCCGAAGCAACCAGACCTTACACTGTGAAGAGAACGCTCCTAGTGGACAAAATCACCTTGGATAAACCACTGAGGCAAAAGGAACACACTGTTTAGAAGTAAAAGTTGTGTCAGGAAAATGCAATCTGCCTTTTTAGAAGTTTGGCCTGCTCCTGTAACAGGTTTTTGTTTTTTGTTTGTTTGTTTTTTCAGGTACTCTTAGAAAGCCTGAGGATTCCTTGAGAGGAGCCTGACGGACACCTTTGGAACCCACATTCAACCGCAACAGCTCTACTTTGCCTCCTATGAAACCTGGATCAGAGACTTTACGAGCAAAAAACTAAAAGGGTTTAATTAATTAAAAGGGTTTATATTGGTAACCGTCTATCAAGTGTTTGCTTCCTACCAAGCCCTGTCGCATTAACTTGCCACCTGTCACCTGCTCTCGCACCGAGGAACCAGCCCCGGGAGACCGAGGCCCCACAGGCAGCACCGAGCCGTCAGTCCTGACTCTGAGACCTTGCTTTTCCACCTCTGGGTATATTTAAACTGCTTTCAGGAAAACCTGATGAATTTCAACAAGTTACTCCCGCCACCTGCAACCCCTGGCGTTACTTCCTAGCTGAAACACCCAGCGGGCTTTTACAATCCGTTAGGTCGATATTCACAAGAGACGCTGCGAGGAAAGGGTGGAATAAACTTGACGGCCAGGTGAAACCAGGAACTCTGGGCCACCGTGCCAGGAGGCGCATTCGAGTGACGTCACACGCGCGGCAGGGCGTTCGACTAACCGAAGCCGCGCTCCGCCGGCGGGCCCGCCCCTCTCCCATAATTGGCTTGCCCCTTGCTCCGCCCCCTACCGCCATTGAGCCCTTCGCGGCGCAGCCCCGCCCCTAACGCCCTCGCTCGCCCCTGAGCGCGTGGCTTGCGGTCGGTTGTGGGCGCTGCTGAGAGGGTCGCTGAGGTAGTGGTCGTTGCGCCCGCTTTGCTTGATTTGTAGGCCCGGCACGCGTCCTCCCTGCAGCCGGGACCACCGTCCCACCTCTCCCGCGCCTCTTCCCTTCCAGTCGCACGCCCCCCGTCCTCTGCCTTCGTGCCGGGCTTTCCGCGCGCACCGTCCGGGATGTTCAAGTGAGGAGGCCGCTCGGGTCTGTGGTTCCCTGAGCGCCGGTAGTGCACACGCGGGAGCACACGAGAGTGTCGGCGCCTCACACCCACCGGGGCGTGGGGCAGCAAAGGGCAGGCTGGCCCCTGGAAGGGGCTGGCCCTGCAGCCAGGCTTGCTGCTGGGGAGACGGGAGTGCGGGAAGGCACCCAGGCCGTCCGTCGCCCAGGGAAGTCTTACGGCAGCGCCGCCTCTCTGGGCGGGGAGGGGGCGTCATGGGGTCCCTTTTCTTCGAGAGCGCAGTGTGCCCTGCTGTTTCTCGGTGCTCCGAGGTCATGAGCTCCTGCCCGCTACGGGACAGGCAGGTGCAGTGAGAGGCAGGAGTACTGTACCGTTTCATGGCGCTTCTTTTGCAGATTGTTTTCATGCTTGTCTTGTTGGGTTACTACTCCGTCAGGCGATTAACAAAACAAAATTTTACTGAGAAAAAAAACCTTAGTCACTTTATTGTCACTAGGGCAAAATAGCAGGTACCGTCAGCTTAAGGGAGGAGAGATTTATTTTGGCTCATAGTTCCAGGAGTTTTTAGTCCATAGTTGGCAGTCAGATGCAGAAACAGCATGGGGGAAGGGGCTGGCAGAAGACAGTTGCTAAGGTCAAGGAGATCAAGAAGCAAGGTAAGAAGGAAAGGAGACAAACCCAGGTCGTGTCCCCAGCCTCTTCTGACAAGACCCCACCTGCTAACAGCACTTTTAGCTATGGATTCATCACATCAGCAGGTTTGTCTACCAATGGATACAGCACCTCCAGGACCCAATCACTGCCGGGAGGCGGGGAGTTTGCCCCAGATCTAAACCACAGCAGAAACTAAACACTAAAATTAACTGTACCTGAAACATAGTACAGTGTACACTTAGTAAATATGGATGGATGGAATGAGTGGATGCACAAATCCCATCCACTGCTGCATTCGCTAAGATTATTTTTGGCACTCAATCCAAAGCAGCACAGGAGAGAGAAGGAGACAAAGTAGAAAGAGGATTTTAATGATGTATGGAAGAGCTTTATAGGGGTGCAGCGGCTCTCAGTTGGAAAAAAAAATGGAACTACTCAGTTTTGGCTGGGGAAGGAGTTTGGGAGGTGGGCAGAATGACAGGTTAACAGCTGATTTGAAGAAGCATCTGTCTGTAAAATAGATTTACTAGGGGCTGGGGTGGAGGTTTGGGTGGTTGTGGAGTCTTGGAATTGGAGCGGGCTCAGTGCAGGCAAGGAAAGGGAGTGGGAGGTTTCCATATCCAGGTTGGGGTTTTTTTGGTACTGGGGATTGAACTTGTGACCTCGCACTTACAAGGAAGGCACTTATTCTGCTGAGCTAAATCCCCGGCATGGGAGTGGGAGGCTTATCTCTGGAATGAGGAGAACATAGAAGTTACTCTTGGAAAGGTAAGTTGTTTCTCTGGGTGCAGTACCAAGTTGGGCAGGTGTCATGTTACAGGTAGCTACGCCCCAGGCCAACAGAACCCTATCACACTGGACTAGAGTTAAGTCTGACAGTAGTAACTGCAGATATTGCTCAGTAGAGAATAGTGATGTACTCTGCAGACCAGGCACTGATGGAAAATTTTTAGAAAATCCTACTTTTCCAAGTGTTGTTTTAGGTATTATGAGTAAGTGCCAAGAAAGACTAGCAAGATCTCCGTTCTCATGGAGCTTAAGTTCTAGTTAGGGATGACACAAAATAAACTGATAAGCAGTGTATGAACAAGGAGTTTTACATAGTGGTAAGTGCAGTGACTAAGTGAAAAATTGTTAAATGAGAGACGAGTGGAGAGCTTGCTTAGATGGCTCCTTTAGACAAGTCCTCTCTGAAGAGCTTGCAAAATAAAAACTGCTGTAGCTGAAATATAAAGTGGTCCAAGATGAACTTGGTGCGGTAAGTAGAGGCCTCATCAAGGAGGGCTTTGAATGGGTTATGGAGAGTTACTCTTGGAATAAATTACAAATTTTTTAAAGTGCAACCTGAAACCAGTAGTGAATTTTGAAGAGGAAAGTGATTGCTTTACTTTTTTTTTTTTTTTTTTTGGTCTTTTTCTTTTTTTATCGGTACGAGGGATCGAACTCACGACCGCCTGCTTGCAAGGCAGGTGCTTATGCCGCTGAGCTAAATCCCCAGCCCCTTGCTTTACTTTTTTAAAAATGTTGCTTCATAGCAAGTGGATCACGAGGGCAGCAAGCAAGATTTATGTCAGAAGACAATGGAGAAATTCGAGTGGCCATTACAGAAGTTCAAGATGTAGTAACCAAAAAGTAGATATGGGTGTGATACATTTTATAGGCAGAGCTTACAGGTTTTGTGGTATTTTGAATACAGGGGTAAGGAAACAGCAATAGTTGCTTCTAGGTTTTTGCTTGAGTGTGAGTAGGTGATTGTACCATTTGCCAAATGGGAAAGACATGACGAAAGAAGGGAGGAGTTGCTTGCCTTAATTTTTAAATGCTGATTGGGTAAGTTCTGAGTCTTGAGTTTTGTGCAAAGAAGAAAGGACCAGAAATTAAAATTTGGGAGTCACCAGCCTGGCACAGTGGCGCACGCCTGCAATTCCAGCACCCAGAAGACTGAGGCAGGAGGATCACTGTGAGTTTGAGAACAGCGTGAGCTACAAAATGAGCTCAAGGCCAACCTGAAGTGCATAGTGAGACCCTGTCTCAAAAAGACAAAAAAAAAAAAAAAAAAAAAAAGTAGGAAAAAACTAACTACAGTAAATATCCTTATGGAGAACATTCCAGTGATTGGAAGGGTTGGGGGAGTGATCAAAGCAGAGGGAGGGATAGCCAGTAAATCAGAAAGAAACTCCAGACAGGACGCTGATATAAAAAGCAAGACAGCAAAATACGGTTGATGATATTGAATGGTGCTGAGAGGTCAAGTAAAATAGATCTGCATCTTGGATTTTGTTAACACATAGCGGTTATATGCTTTGACAAGTACAATGAAGGGAGGTGTGGTGAGAAGAAATATGTATAGCACTGTAGACATCTCAAGATATTTTACTATGGAGAGCTGATTAGAGAAAAATGTAAGGTGAGAAAAGAGTTCTTAAAGATACTAAACTATGTCATTAAAACTAGTGTGAATGGTCTAATAGCATTTATAAAAATGAATTTGATGTAAGTATGTCCATCAATTTTGGGGGTTTTTTTATTTGTTTTTTTGTTGTTTTTGGTCCTATGACAGAATAAACAATTTAAAGGAGGAGTTACTTTTGCTCCTAGCTTAAGAGGTGAGCCAAAATAAATCTTTGGTTTGTTAAATGTCTTAGTCATTTTCTTTGACAGTGAGACATAATACCAGATGCCCACAGTTTAAAGGAGGAAAGGTTTATGTTGGCTCACTATTTCAGTCCAGGGTCAGCCAGCTCCAGAACAGATATGGCAAAGCAGATGAAAAGTGACTCGTAACATGATTTTCAGGAGAAAGAGAAAGAAAAGAGAGCCAGAAAGAGAGACAAACTCTTCTAGGTCTCACCCCCGCCCCCGGACCCAGTAACCTACCTACCTCTTTGACCAATCCTTAATTTTCTAACACCATAGTTACCCATAACTCATCAGTGAATTAATCTAGTGCTGCCATAATCTGTCTTCTAGAAACTCCAACTCTAAATACACAACCTTCTAGGGAACATTCTAGATCTAAATCCAAACAGCCTCTGGTCCCCAAAAGATCATGTCTGTTTCTTTATACAAAATGAATTGTATCCATCTCTAGGAGTCCCCAAAGTTCTTAACAGTTCCAACATACTAAAGTCTGAGTTAAAAATCTCCTTTGATAATCAAAGCAAACTCTTATTTGTAGACTCCTATAAAAATAAGAAAGTTAAGGGGACACGGATATAGCTCAGTGGCACAGCACTTGCTTGGAAACACAAGGTCCTGAGTTCAATTTCTGGAACCAAAAGAAAAAAAGTTAAACACTTATGATATACAAGGACTCAGAGTAAACATTTCCATTCCAAAAGAGAAAAATAAAGGGATCAAAAAGAATGAGACCAAATCCCCACAGGACAAACATATCCTGTAGTTCCATGTCCAACACCCAGTGTAGTTATGACAAGATATGGGCTCTAAAAGATTTGGGTGGCCCTACCCTTTTAGTACTGACTATTGCAGCTCTCATGGCCTGGTTTGTGGGGTGGCCCCACTCACTGTCCACAGCATTCCTTCGCACATGTTTCGTGTTTCTAGCATCTCCAACTTCCTGAAGTCTCCACTGTGCTTTTGGCTTTATCCTCACGGGTTTTTAAATTGCCCCTTCAGAGCCCTTGTGAAATCTGGGTGGAAGCCTCCACAACCTTATAACTGCCTATAAAACCAGCACCATGGCCAGGTATGGTGGCACATTCCTGTAATCTCAGCACTCAGGAGGCTGAGACAGGTGGACTGTTGCAAGTTCAAGACCAGCCAGGGCTATAAAGTGAGCCCAAGGCTAGCCTGAACCTCATAGTGAGACCCTGTCTCAAAGACAGACAAACAAAACAACCCAGTATCACATGTATGATACCAAGGTCTGCTCCCCACTCAAGCAGTAGCCAGGCCCTCTTGGACCATTGCTGCAGAGACCTCTTAGTACCTGGATAGCTGATCACTGTGAAACAAATCCCAGTAAAACAATTCCCTGGGTAGTCCTCACGCAGGAAACTCAGGGGCTTTCTCCCTCAAATGAAACCTTTACAGTTTTATACTTTTCATCCTGGGAAAGATAGGGTCTGATTGATTTCTTTTTTTTTTTTTTTTTGAGAAAAGATTCTATTTTTCAAAGTATTATTCTAAGGAGTAGGGGGACAATCAATGGAGGCTGAAATTATTACAATACAGAGAATACACTAAGATAAGCAAATATCTCAAGGATTAAGCAGAGGGTTTTCTATAAATGTAATGGTGTTGACTTTTATTTAGAGAGAAAAGCAAAACAGAAAAAGGTAGAAATAATACAGAATTTCAAAAAATATCACTAGTTGATAAACTACATATTGTTATCTTAGAAGTAGTTATTCAAGTTACAAAATCAAAGCATAAAAAGTGGGCAATCAGACAATGACAGCACAAACCATTCTGTTAGATGCACTAACAAAAACTTAGTAGTGTGGCTATCTTGCACATTTAAACATACATACAGTTTACATCCTTTAGAAAACTTTTGGCTGATTTCTGAGATGCCTTCTTTTCTGTTTTCCTGATGCAGAGTACTTGTCTCTTTTTTTAACGCTAATCTTTTCAGAACCATAATCTTTTTTTGCCCCAACTTCATAATTTTTTTCTCTTTCTGGCAAAAATAAATTTTGCAGATTTCCAAGTTACTTATTCCTGATTTTCACTGTACATCTGACTAATGGCAGTTAACAGTATTCATGCCATGCCCTGAACACTGGGTCATCTTGAAATTTTCTCCACCAAATTAATCAGTCTGCTGCCCTTAATGTCCCTTGAAGCATCCTTTGAAGTCTCAGGGTAAAGGCAAAATGTAAATAAATTTCCTGCCAGAGCGTAACACACATGGCCATCAGTCTAACTGCCAATGGAATCCTTGCTCCCAACTAAAACCTCCAAGCTTTAGCTTTACTGTCTTCATTTCTGTGAACGCTCTTCTCTTTTGGACTTTGACCGCAATCTCCCATCAAGCTCAGAACTTCTCTAGCCAGTGTCACCAAACCGTCCCTAACTTATCCCAGTAGTTCCAAAGGCTTCTAAGTGATGTGGTCAGGTGCAGTGATAGCAATTACCCCACTTCTCGTACCAAAGTCTGTTTTAGTCACTTTCTTCCTCACTGAGATACAATATCCAGCATTCACAACCTAAAGGAAGACAGGTTTATTTTGGTTCATCGTTTCAGTCCATGGTAGGCTGGCTCCAAGACAGAAACAGCATGGCAGACAAAAAGCTGCTTGTGACATGGTGGCTGGGTAGGTCAGTGAGAGATACAGAGAGGAAGAAGAGAAGGGAGGGCAGGATTGAGATAAACCCTTCCAGGTCACCCCCAGTGACCTGCGTCTTCTAACCAGTCCCCCATCTCCTGACAATATATTTAGCTCTGAACTCATGAGTGGAGTATAACACATCCAGTCATCTTCCAAAAACCTAGCCTCTGAACATATGAGACTTTTAGGGGCTGAGAATTTAGCTCAGCGGCATAAGCACCTGCCTTGCAAGCGGGTAGTTCAATCCCCGGTAGCAACACAAACAAACATACGAGGCTTTGGGGAGCATTCTAGATCCAAACCTTAACAATAAATCATAGTTGCCTAGTTCTATTTTGGGGTAGTTGGCTCACTCATGGCAACCACAAGCAAGGGGCAGAAATAGAGGGGGAATGGGGCTAGGGACAACATACACTCTTCAAAGCCATACCCCAGTGACCTGTCTCATTCAGTGAGGCTCTCCCTCCTTCGGCCCACTGAGCTCCGAACTCATCAGTGGATTAGTCCATGGATAGGCAGGGTGCCTTTGTGTTCAGTCATCCTCCAAAAGCCCCACCTCTGACACATGAGACTTTGAGAGACATTTTAGCTCCAACCATAGCAGGGAGTACATATACTTTAGGGATGCGGTCTTTGGAAACACAAGAGGAGACAGGATAACAGGAATATGTACAAATGTAGGTTTGGAGGGGTATGGACGAGTGTGGGCTTCAGGTGTGTGAATTGTGTGTGCGATCAGTTTTGAGATGGGAGACGTGGCATATTTGAGGAACTGAAATGTAATATGGCTGAAGTTTAAGACTGTCAAATGAAAGAATGAGGAGACAAGTAAATATAAGGGTCCTATATGGTGATTTTGATGTTTTCCTTCCATAGTTAACTACTGAAAAATATTAAGCAGAGAGTTGTCTTAATCATGCATTTTAGGTGATTGTTCTACATTGTGGAAAATACGTTCAGGAGGAACAGGGCTAGAGGTGGGGAGAACAGTTGGAAGACTATTACAGTATTTAAGAAAAAAAGATACTTACGGTCTGGACTAGAGTAGTGACAATTCATCTGGAGAGAAGTAGCCAACATGATGACTTAGTGATCTGGTGAATATTGGCAGGGAAAGAGAAGGGGAAGAAAGACTGACTTCTCGGTTTGTAATTAGAGCAACTAGGTAGATGATGGTTTCGTTTTCTGAGATAGGCAGTTCTCTAAAGAAGGAGTAGATTTGATGGGAAAAGATACTGAGTTCAATTATACCTGTGTCCTTGGATTGTCTAAAATCCTCCCTTTCTAGCCTATTTTATAGGTTTGGAATTGAAGTGCAAAGAGGTAAAGCTTAAAGTAGATATATTCAATAAGTAGTTAGGTATACCAGTTAGAATATAGAATGCCTGTAGGCAAACATATCATCAGCATGGTAGTCTTAAAGCTATAGGAGTAGAATATTCTTCTAGATATGTGTATAGAGTGAGGAGAGAACAGGGACTACAGAAGAATCTGAGGAACCCCAGTACTTGAGAAATAGAGGAAAGATGCTAGTAAAAAAGACCAAGAAAAGATAACCTGAGAGGTAGAAAAAAGGGTAGAGCAAGTGACAAAATGAAGTGTGAAATTCAAGAAAAATGATATCCAGTTCTGTGTTGTGGTGTGCAGGAACTTTATTTGGAATAACTCTTAAGTCAATGAGCATGATTTTAAAAAGAGATTCAGTGAAGACATTCCAACCAAATAAAAGAGAACAAATAAAAGCATGGAACATCTCATTTATAATTAATACTGAACTCTGTATGCACTGTGACTCAAGGGAACTTTCCATTCTTACATATCTAATTATTAATGCTACTATAAAATTTGATTTACTTTTCTTAATAGAAGGGATAGATTAAAAACAATGAAAGTATTTAGCTGAACCACAAAATTAATCATCTATATTTAGAGAACTAATGAAGAATTGACCATAAATATTTGCCAAATGACCTGCTGTTTAATCACTAGATGTCACTATTTACAACATTGCTCTGAAAAGATAAATTCATAGTGTTGCATGTCAATACCCAGATAAATCTATAGTGTTACATATGAATACCCAGGAATACACAACATATGTGGTATTTACTTAAGAAATGAAGTTCCAGGGCTGGGGATTTAGCTCAGCGGCATAAGAGCCTGCCTTGCAAGCAGGCAGTCATGAGTTTGATCCCTGTTACCGATAAAAACGAAAAAGATTAAAAAATCAAAAAAAAAAAAAAGAAATGAAGTTCCCAAGCAGCATGTATTGATAATCTGGCACTTTGTTTTTCAGTTAATGTATCAGAAAATATAAATCACAAGCTTAAAGCTGATTAAGCCCTTGGATTATCTAAAATCTCCCTCCCTAAACCACTTTATAGGTTGGGAATTGAGGTGTAAAGAGGTGAAGTGACAAGAAATTTGCTCTGTACTATGTAGCAAATCAAAAATGGAGAGTTTACATTATCCAGTTCTTTTCACAACACCACACTGCGTCTGTTACTAGTATATATAGTCAAATAGATACTCTAATAAACAAGGTAAAAACAGAGCTGTTAAATCAATCAAAATTTACCACTATACAAGCAAAGCCCAGCAATGCAATGATAGCAGTACATTCTTGTAAACCTTTGACAAACAAAGGCTTTGCTAGAATGATCACTAACACATCATTTTGTCACGATATAGTTTGTGTATATTCTGCCTTACCCCAACAAGGATTTTGAGAAACTTACTAAAATAAAGAGAGCAACAAATAAAAATTGACGTGGTCATAACTGTAAGGTCCTGAAATATAAAGCAGCATAAAGCCTTATTTTTGTTGGTATATAGAAAGCATTTCATAATCTCTCGTAAGCTTAACTAATAAACTCATATTTAATTGTTCTTGAATTTGATCCTGCTTTCTCTGTGTGTCAGCATGGACTAACAAAAGTAGACTGTACTATACTCATTAAAAGATGACAAGAGGTTATCATTTAGCCAAGATCACACAACTAATCTGTTTCTGATTTCAGAGCCCTCATTGTTCCCTGTATGCCAGCTATCTGCACATCTAATGGGAGGACCTAACAAGATGCAGCCTCTGTAAACCACAGACAGCAGATCACCATGAGTATTTCTTCAATGCATAGGTAGGCTTTTGTTTACATCAAAATTTTTTAAACAGTTGCTCACATATTGTGCCAAGGTATTCTTCTGTGAAGATACTGATTACTTTAAAAATAATTATTAAAAGGCAAAATGAATAGACTGTAATTTATCTATATTTTAAATTATAATTTTTTTATGAGATGAGGTCTTGCTATATAGTTTAGGCTGGTCTTGAACTCACTGTGTAATACAGGCTAGTCTCAAACTCACAGTGATTCTCTTATCTCAGCCTCCCAAGTGCTTAGATTATCACCACCACACCCAGCTAAATTACAAACTATATCAAGGTAATACTAATTTTAAAAACTCATCAAATGAATTAAATATCCAGGGAAAGAGATAATTCCAAGAAAACAGAGATAAAGAGATATCTAAAGCAAAAAGAAAGGGGACAGGTAGGTACAGTATTTAAAAAGAGGGACCTGGACAATGGAGAGAGATCTAAGACCTGATACTCTCTACCTACACTGCTTTTGATCCTTACCTCACTGACATATTTTATTTTTCTTTTTCAGCTCCTTTCACCTAAAATTATACCTAAAATATCCAGTATCCTAGTTCTTTACTCTTTAGGCTTTTGTTATATATGTATATATATAGATACATACATATAAGTATATAATTAATATATATTTTTAATATATATATTAAATTGTCCTGTTGATTCTTTATGTGCTTTTGTTGCAATTTTTAAGCATCTTACTTTAGAATTCGTTTCCTTTCTAAAATTTATTTGAAAAACCTATTCTCTCTCTGTTCCTTCTCCCTGTCACCCTCTTCCTCTCCCTCTCCTCCCACTCTTATCTCTCCTTCCTTTGCTCCCGCTCTGTCATAAAAGGGAATGGTTCATTTTAGCTCAGTTTTGTCAGTTGCCAGACTTTCAATGCACTTCTTGTGGACTTTTGGCCGGGCAATGTATCATGGTGGCAAGCACATAGCAGAGGCAACCCTTGCCTGTAGGACAGACTGGCCTCCCAATCTCCTTTGAAGACACCATCCAGTGGCCCAAAACCTACCGCTGGGCCACATTCTTACAGGTTCCAGCCCCTCCCACCAGTGCCATCGCTGGGACCAAGCCCTTACTTAACCTATGGCCTCTGGGAGCCTCTGAGGGACATCCAGATCCAAACTAGAATCTGTCTTAGTTTCTAAAGGATTATGTCTGTCTCTCCAAGAAAAATACATTTACTTAGTCTACTTCTGAGAATCTCTGGCATTGCCAGAAAGTCCAAGTTTATAGTCTCCCCCAAGATTTAAGGCCAACTCAGCTCTGAGCACCTGTACAAATAAAGTTACATGCGTCCAATATACAGTGATGGGGCAAGCTGAACACAGGGTCAGTGTTCATATTCGAAAAGGCAAGGCTACAGGCAGAGAAATGAAGGATTAGACTAAAGAAGACCAGAACCAGCAGGACAAACATGAAGTCCTGTGTCCTTGCCCACTGTCCAGGCAGCTCCTCACTCCTGACCCCTCGCTGGGGCTTGCATTGCTTTCGTCCTGTGCTTCCCTCAGCAGGGGTCCCATGGGCTGGGTCTGCACTACAGCTTCAACTTCACCCTCACAGCTTCACTGTGTATTTCTCTGCCGACGCCATCTGCAGAGACTCCAGCTCTGTCACACAGTGCCCATCAGTCCACGCCATTCTTTGAAATCTTGGTGAGGCTTCATGACTTCCTGACTTCCACATACTCCTTACCTACCACCCCAGCATCGTGTGGATGACATTGCGGTCTGCTGGTGGCATGCGGTGTGTGGGCCCACTAGACCCAGTGGTACAGAAGCCTCTGAGTGCCTTGTTGGCCGAGCATGGGGAAATGAATTCATTTGGGAATTATTTACTCTGGCTTTTTTGTTGATTATGTGGAAGTTACTTTTTATTATGTGTACCTGGCTTTTGTCTTGCTGCTTTTGTTTGGATTTGTTCTGTTTTGTTTTTGAGACGGTCTCACTATGCAGTTCAAGCTAGGCTTGAGTTCACTTTGTAGCCCAGGCTGGTTTCAAACTTGCGATGATCCTCCTGCCTCAGCCTCCCACATGCTGGGATTACAGGCATATGCCACTACACCCAGCTGTATCTGGCTCTTTTTTGTGTGTTTTTTGTTTTTTGTATCTGGTATTTTTTTCTCCATTCATTCAGTGCTAACTTCACAGATACGTATGAGCGTCACTATGTGCCAAGCCCTGTTCAGTCAGGAATAGAGGTAGGCATGATCCCTCCTATGAAGCTTGAAGGTTCCCAGTTCCATCTGAGATGGGACAGGCTCACCACAGCCTTCCTTTTTTGCTGCTTACAACCAAAATCTCTGAATAAAATATAAAGAGCATATGCCTGAGGACTCTTAAAAAATAAGCATATCAGATGGATTGAGAAACAGACAAACCACAGAAGGGAATTTTGTTGCTCTTACAAGTTTTGACCTTAGATAGGCCCCAAATCTCCCAGTGTGTGAGGGTAACACAGGAGGCTGAAACTGCAACACAGAATCTACTTGTGTGGCCTGAAGATCTGAAAAATGGGTCAGAGAGAATGTGAGGAAGCTCTGTTAATGGTGACATTTGTTGTTTATTTTTACCTCTTAATAGATTTTCCTCAAGGGTAGGTCCTTTCGATGCATTAGAAATAGCTAAAACTCAGGGAAAAGCCCTCATCTCAGGGCAGGGGAACCAGGAAAGGACACCCTGAGAGCTGGTGTGTGAGAGGGGGAGAGATGCATTGAAGCAGGAGAAGGCTGAAGAGGAGTCCTTAGTTCTGTGTGCAATCCTAGCCCAGCGTGTTTGGCACCTTGAATGTTATTTTTTGGTCTCATTGTTCAGGAGATGCAAATTAAAACAACACCGAGAATCCGGCTGTCATTAAGAAATCAACGAATAACAAATGCTGGAGGAGCTGTAGGGAAAAAGGAACCCTTCTCCACTGTTGGTGTATTGTAGACTGGTACGACCACTGTGGACATCAGTGTAGATATTTCTCAGCAGATTAGAGGTTCCATTTGATCCAGCCATTCCCTTCCTATCTCCTCAAAAGAGTTAAAAGCATCCTACCACAGTGATATATGCACACCTATGTTTATAGCAGCACCGTTTATAATAGCCAAATCTTGGAAGCAACCCAAGTGCCCATCAGCTGGTGAATGGATAAAGAAGACATGTTTTTTTATACAATGGAGTACTACTCTCCCATAAATAAGAATAGGCTTGAGACATTTCTAGAAAAATGGATACATCTTGAGACCATACTCTGAAGTGAAATAAATCAGACACACGTGTGTAAATACCACATTGTTTTTCTGGTATAAGAAACCAAAAGTGTAAATAAGGGCCAAGATGTATAATAGATATTGTGAAATAGGAGGAAAATGTTCAAATGGGGATGGGAACAAGGGAGAAGGGAGGGGAAAAGTAAAAAAAAATGAGAAAAACAAGGAAAATATAAAATAAAACCTTTATAAATGGGGAGGTGAGGAAGGATTAAAGGGAAGATAGAGGAATGGGGGCAACAGTTAGTTTTTTGGCCTTAGCTAGAATTATTTTGTGGAGTTAAATCCTTCACTGGAAGACATCAAAAATAAGTGGCTGGCAGGATAACGGGGACTGTGAGAGCTGTCTGCTCGCTGAAAGTGTGTTGTTGAGAAGGGTACTGGTGGGACAGTAACTAAGTTTCTGGGAAACTTAAAATTAGTTCATTTTTTGTCACTAAAAGAAGCCAGCTGCAATGAGCAGACAGAAGACTCAGCTACCACGAGGCTGAAGCAGAATGAAGGCCAGCCTGAGCGACCTAGCAAGACCCCTCCAAAGGTGGAGCATATAGACCAGCTCAGTGCAAGGTCCTCAGTCCAACACCCAGTTCCACCACGAAAAGGAAAAAAAGCACCCCAATCCTTGGGAAGGATCAAGTGGAAAGGGAGTGGAGGAAGAGCTAATGAGACAAATAAGCATGAGCAGTGTCCCACATGCCGTTAGCATTGCCAGTGTGCCGTTAGCACTGTAACATTCTTGAGAGCACAAGAAGGGCTGTGGTCCAGAACCCCAGTGCTCTAACTGTGTCAGGAGTAAGGACACTTCCTCTCATGTAAGAAGAGGCAAGACAGTGAGGAAACAGGTCCACTGGGGGATGCTGGAGCTGAGCTGCGCTACTGAGAGCAAAGCGGAAAGTGTGGAGGGCCAGTGGTTTTTAAATATTCATTAAAGAAAGCAAGTTGACAGTATGTGGTGTTGGGACCAGGACATCATCATGTAAGCCTTGGAAGCCGCTGGACATTTATAGTGATCTAGATTGTTTCAGTGTAGTGTTCTCTAGCAATATCAGTTTTCAGTCAAGTGAATGGAAAAATGAAGTAATAAGGTTGGTTCAGGAATGGGGCTTTTCTAGAAAGAATAAAAAGCATATTTCATAAGAGTTTAGGATATAGAGACAGTGTTGGGGGTGATGAATCATAAGTGTTGAATAGAAAAAGAAGGGGAAGGGGAGAGCTAAAGGATCATGCTGAGGGACCACTGCACTGTACCTCTGATGACCCTGAGGGGAAATTGAAGGGGGCAAGGTAACTGGCGGGGAAAGGGACAAGAAAAGGGAGAGAGATGAAGTAGTGTTCAGAAAGCTGGATGCTGAGCCGGGGATTATCAGTGACAGCATTCAGCGTAAGTGTCCAGCATGGCCTCTCCTTTATTGTAAAGGGTGGATTTTCCAGTTGTATGCTTAACACATTTACAAAACTTATAAATGTTGGGGTCATGTAACAAATATCTCTTGTGAATAACAGAGAGGGGCTAAAATGAGGTCAGCAAAGGACTGAAAAGAAGAGGGAAAAGATGATATTGATGATTTAGACACTTCACAGGAGCAAGGGTTTTCTTTTATCATATAAGAGTTTTGAAACAGCACAGTATCAGCAGCTCTTGGTGCGTAAGTAGCTATTACATAAAAGGACATTTGGGGAGAACATGGCAGACAGACAACAGCAACTACCGGAGGCTCTCT